AGCCTTTCTTCCCTCCTGGTTATGGCTATCAAGGATTGCTGGTAACCAGTCATGACATTCGTTCTCATCTTTCTTGGTCCTTTCTCTGGCCCCTTCTCCTTCAATCTTCCCTGTCCTGTGGCTCAGTCTCTTTCCCTGCTTTCTTTCTTTCATCGTATAGAGGTTTGTCTAAACTCAAGATCCTGCCTTCCAGTGTGCTCCACCACGCCCAGTTGTTTTTGTACCACTGTTTTGTATTAATATGGTGCTGGGCTTTAAACTCAGCACTTTGCACTGCTGGTTGCTCTTGCTGCAAGATACGCCCCACCAATCCAGGAGAGGCAGGGGCTTTTAAAGTGAATCTTCATTTCAGATCTGAGCATTGGCAAATATTTTTCAGATTGATATTGTGCCGCTCAGCAGTTCATCACTGTTGCTTCCTTTAACAAGCACACGTGGTGGCTGTGAGGTAACTGTAAGGGCCTGTCATATTTTCTCCGCCCCTTTCCCTACCAGCTGCTGCTTTTACAGCCCTGTTTCTTTTTTTACTTAATTTTTTTCATGTAATATATTTTGATCTTATTTCTTTTTCCTGAACTCCTCTGAGATCCCCGCTCCCTACTCTCCCAGCTTTGTGTTCTCACTCACTCAGAAGAAGAAGAAAAAAATCAAAACAAATACAGAAAAACCCAGTAAGATTAGAAAAAAAAATGAAGCAGTCTGCCCCACCTAAAAAATGAAACACTTAGTCTATTTTGGGTTGGTTAACTACTCCTGGGCATGGGGCCTGCCCTCAGTGTGGTTGATGGCTCAGTGACACTCACTGGAGGAAACTGATTTCCCCTTCCCAGCAGGGATCAGTTGCAAATAGCTTCTTGGTTGGGTGAGACTGTGTGTCCACTTCTCTTTCCCAGTGTTAGGATTTTGTCTGCTTTGAGCTGGTGCAGGACTCGTGCCTGCTGTCCTGGTCTCTGAGTTCATGAGTAGCTGTTAGTGTGTATACAAGATGCTGTTTGCGTGGAGTCATCTGCCACCTCCCGCTCTTACAATCTTTCTGCATAGGTCTCTGAGCCCGTAGGGCGAGGTCTGATAGAGACATCCCATTAGTGCTCAGTGCTCCACAGTCCCTTACTCTCTTCACATTGTCTGTTTGCGGATCTCAGCGTTAATTCCCATCTGATGCCAGAAGAAAGCCTCTGAAGAGTTGAGTGATACAATGATCCTCTGTACATCCCCCTGATTCTGTTTCATTCCTCCCTACTCTGGTCTGGCTTCTTACCAAGGCGACCCATACCTTCCTGGTTGCTAAACCCAGAGGAGATTTCTCACTCCTTAATTATTTAACATTACTGTAGTAATTGATAATTTTCGTCATTTCCTCAAAAAATAAAAATTTCTGCTTCTTCCTGAATTTTTAGCCACCATGTATTTCTTCCTATTCCTTTGGTTTTCCTCCTTAGGTTCATTATCAGTTTATCGGTTCCTATTGGCCCCTCCATGGTGGTTGTTAGCGGATCAAACCCAGGACTGACAGCTGTAGCCTTCTTCCCGTACGTTTTGCTCTCAGTTGGTCATGTCATATATGTACCCAAACTTTACTAACTGGTCACTAAGTTGAGGTTCTCTACGTGTGCTCTAGACTCCACATCCTCAGATGAAACTCAGCATGTTTGAAACTAAACTTGGGGCGGGAGAGGCGCCCAGCAGTTAATGGCACTTGCTCCTCTTCAGAGCACTTGCTCCTCCCAGCAACCATATCAGGCTTCTCCCAACTGTTGACACTACGGCTCCAGGGCACTTGATGCCTTCCTCTGGTCCGCTGTGGGCACCTGTGCATGTGTGACAGACAGATGTGCACATACAAATAAAAGTATTTTAAAAACAAACTTGGACTTTCACCCCTGTATATCCATTCTCTCCGTGTGTTCCCACTTCGTTAAATAGCTTTGTTTTCCATCTGGATGCTCAGGCCAGCATAACCACCTCATTGTCAAGTCCATTAAAGCTCCTCTAGTCTTTCATCTCATTTTCCCTAGCCTATTCTACTCAGCCACCAAAGCTCTCTAAAACATACTATCTTCCAACAACCCCCACTTCTGGCATTACTCTCTTAGATGAGGTCCAAAGCTCTTATTGCCTAATGATTGCAGTGTTCACCTAGACAGCCATTTAGACCCTCTCGAGTCTAGACCAAGCTTTTAAAATAGAACACTAATGTCAAGCTCACACTTAGGGCTCTTCAGTGATTTCTTTTTACTTCAGGGCATTAAAGTTCAACCCCCCTTTTCAGCACACCTGTTGTTTATGATTTAGTCCCTGCAGATCTTCCGGACTTCACCTCTTGTCAGCTCATAATGGAGCCACACTGAAACACCTTGCGATTACTCTTATCAGTCATGTTCTGTTATTCCTTGAGCGGATATATATTCTACTATACCTCTACCTGGTAATGATATTAGTTACTTAGGTGACATTGCTGGAAAACCCTCTAATGTCCTATTCCCTTAGACTTAGTTAATTTAAGGCATCTTGTGTATGGGTGTGTTACATTAAAATTGTTAAAATTGTTTTTTTTTAAACTGGACTGAGAACTCTTTGAAATGGACATTATTTTCTTCTGTGAACCCTGGGGATGTATCTTGCTTAAGTTAGCAGTTTGCATCTTAAATGAATGGGTGACCAGTCACAATAAAAGACCATGAGAAGGTAAAGTGTAGTTAGCACTATGACTCTTGGCCTTAAAGAATGTTCCAGAAGTATGGGTTCAGTGTGTAGTTGAGGTATATACATATATAAATATTAATTTGCCATATAAATGAAGTTTGATATATTCTACAACAAAGGTGAATGTCCAAATATTATATACTAAGTGAAAGAAGCTAGCACAAGAGGTCATATGTAACATGAAGGCTGGCTTGTTGGGGTTTCTGTCCTACCCGGTACCCCACAGCCGGTAAGTCCCAGAGAAAATCAATCACACAGAGATCTCTATAAGTTATAAAGCTGATTGGCCCATTAGGTCAGGCTTCTTATTAGCTCTTATAACTTATGTTACCCCATTATCCTTATCTACATTAGCCACATGGCTCAGTACCTTTCTCAGCTGGGCAAGTTACATGCTGCCTCTTCGGTGGTCTGTGCAGGAATGGCGGAGGGAGCTTCCTGTTTCCCAGAATACTCCCAGTCTCTTTGCTCCACCCCTACTTCCTGTCTGGCTTTCCCGCCTATACTGCTTGCCTGGCCAATCAGTGTTTTATTAAAATATGATTGACAGAATACAATTCTCACATACCAGTCATACATTGTAAGATTGCATTTATATGAAATGTCCACTATAGGCAAATGTAGAGAGATGAAAAGTAGATTTTTGACTTCTAAGGGCTGGAGCTTATAGGTCTAGAGAGATAAATTAGTCATAAACTACTTACTGTAAAAGCATGAGAACTTGAGTTTGGACCCTCACCCAAGGACAGCAGACATGGTGGCATGTGTGTTCAAGTACAGCTCTGCAGCAGGCAGGGGAGCAGAGATAGGTAGGTCTCTGGAGCTCACTGGCCACCTAGTCTAGCCAAAATCAGTAAGGTGTAGGCTCAGGGAAAGTCCCTGTCTCAAACAATAGAAGATTGATTAAGGAAGACGCCCAATGTTAATCTCTACTACACAGATGTCCATATATGTGCATGCATGTATGTGTGTACACATCTATACATACTCAAATTTTTAAAAGGTAAAAAGAACCAAAAGGCTAGAGTTTGAGGATAGGGGAGTAGGGAGTATTCTAAAATTTTGGCGGCATTGAAAATGTTCTGGAATTAGTGGTGATTGAGTTACACTTTGTGAATATATAATTTGTGAATATACTAAAGACCATTGAATTGTGCTCAAAAGACTAAGCCTTATAGCATTAGAATTATGTCTCAGTAAAACTGTTATTAAACATTGCAGTTTATCAGTACAGTTTTATAGAACCCAGAGAATTATGTGTATCTGAATATGCGTAGGAGTAAAACCTGTATGCTGATCACATAGGACCAGAATCAGGACTTTTCTTTGATGTATTGATTTGGAGGTGGGTATTTTAAACTTTAATTCTGACATTTCAATAGTAGAAGAATTCAACCAATTTATAAACAATATATTCACTTTGCCGTTTATTAAATATATATTACTTGATCTCCTATGTGTGTGTGCTTTGAAAATAACACAGGGAATATATATATGTTTACCTTGTTAATTAATGCAGGTGGTGGTGACACACGCCTTTAATCCCAGCACTTGGGAGGCAGAGGCAGGCAGATTTCTGTGAATTCAAGACCAGCCTGGTCTACAAGAACTAGTTCCAGGACAGACTCCAAAGCTACAGATGAAACCCTGCCTCAAAAAAAGGAGGGGGGGAGAAAACACTGCTTAACTTTGTTCATTGATGGTTGAGGGTTTTAAAAAAAAACCACATTTTTATGGTCTTGGACTTAAAACCAAGGAGTAGCACTAAAGAAACACTTTGTTTTGTCCTTCTTGTTTGGAAATAGGGTCTCATGTCCAGGAGCTCACCATGTAGCCCAGGCAGGTTTGAACCCAGTCTTTCCTCAGCCTCTTGAGTGCTAGGATTATAGGTGTGCATCAAATTTGCCAGGCTTCAAAAGTATACCTTTCCAGTATGAGTGCACTGTCAACTTGACACCCCGGAGAGCACAATCTGTTGGAGACGATTTGAAGATATTCTCTCAGTTAGTCCCTTTCCATATTGGTTATGTATGTAGTGACTGAGAAGTGTAGCAGTCTGTGCTGTTAATCTAGGGCAAATTTTGCCTTCTGGCCTACTCGATTATGAGAAAATTGAACTCTTAGACATGTGAATTCAGTAGTACTTTAAACTGTAATAGCATTTGGTTTAAAAATTAGTTCTGATCCTCCATGGACTCTCATCAGAAATTTTCTGTTCTTAATCCAGAGATATGTGTTGGGTACAAATAAGCACTTTCTGTCTGCATGAGGAGCTGATGGGGTTCTTTCATTTCCAGGTGTTTTGGTGGGGCTTGTGCTTCGGTACGGCATTCATGTTCCCAGTGACGTGAATAATGTCACCCTGAGCTGTGAAGTGCAGTCAAGTCCAACTACGTTGTTGGTCAATGTCAGTGGAAAATTTTACGAGTATATGCTGAAAGGAGAGATTAGCTCACATGAACTCAACAATGTTCAAGATAACGAGATGCTTAGGAAGGTAAGTTTTTAGTTGAAGGGGATGTTTGGGTTTTTGAAAAAGTGTGTAATGAACAACTAGATGAATCTTAAGAAAAATGATGACCCATTTTATTTTATTAATTTTTTTATTTTGAGGCAGTTTAACTTGTGTGCTGCCCTAGAACTTGTAGCAGTCAGTCCTCCTGTCCCTGTCTCCTTGGAGACATATACATGCACTACCTACCTCTCAGCTTGTGCCACTATGCCTAGCTGTAATTTTTTAATATTTAAAATAATAATTAACTTTTAAATGTAATAAAACCTGTTACTAAATATCATGCTGTTAGGGGGTAAACCTGTCTATGTTTTATTTTCATGATTAAGGCCAAAATCTATAACTCTCTTTATTTATACTCTCTATATAATGTTTTTATAACTGACAGTGGTCAGGACCTGACTTCAGAAGAATATGTAAGCATTTCTTCAATTTGCAGATGGCCCTATTGCTTTAGGGTACATTAATACATTGGGTTCAACTTCCGGGGCCCTAGTAAGAGCTTCAGTTACTGTACTTTCTATGGGAGGTTGGGTTGCAATCGCATCAGCTCAAGATTCCTGGAAATGCTTGCTTGTGTTCTGCTCAGTTTCTCTGAAGCTGCTCAGTACCACTTCACAGATTGATCTGTTTTCACCCACCCTTTGTCTCCTGTCTTCTAGTTAGCAGTACTTGATTTTTATGGTCTCTTGATTGTGTTCCTGTCTTAGGGTTTCTATTGCTGTGAAGAGACACCATAACTTTGGCAGCTCATAAAGGAGAACATTTACTCAGGGATGGCTTACAGTTCCAAAGTTTAGTCTATTATCATCATGAGGGAAACATGGCAGTGTGCAGGTGGATGTGGTGCTGGAGAAGGAGCTGAGAGTTCTACATCAGGATGGGCAGGCTGCGGGAAGGGAGAGACACCAGGACTGCCTTGAGCATGAGACCTCAAAACCCACCCCAGTAACACACTTCCTCCAACAAAGCCACACCTACTCCGGCAGGGCCACACCTCCTAATGTTACTTCCTGTAAGCCTATAAGGGGCCATTTTCTTTCAAATCACCACAGTTCCTATCTGTAATGGTTAAAAAAACCCACAAACTTAACTTTGCAACCAGAGTACTTAGCAGCTATGGAAAAGTCCAGTCCTTAAAAATTTTATGGTTAAGTGGATAGCTGCATTGCATTCATATCAAATTCTTCTGTAACCTTCAGAACATAAAGGGCCATCTGCATTGTTAAAACAAGTAGGTTTTAAAATGAGTGTACTGTGAGGACTGAAAATTTTGAGTTGTATAAAAAGTTTTAACTAATTATACTATTATGTAGCTTTTATAGAGATTCCCTGTGTAATCAGTTTCCTTTAGTCAGTGATAAGTGTAGCTCTGAATTCTGTTTCTGAATTTAGGCTCTTTTATATAAAGTAAAAATATATTTATGCTTTTTCTACTTTTTAAGATTTAAATTTTTTTTTTTTTGAGACAGAGACATGCTATGTGGCTTTTGCTGGTCTATTACTAAGTAGTTCAGGCTGACTTTGAACTCATAGCAATTATCCTGCCTCAGATCCTTCCCAATATTTAGGGATTACAGGTGTGTATTATTTGTGTTCTGCTAAGAATTTTAATGTAATATTTTTGTCCAGTTTCCATAGAAATGGTATAACTCATTATTTTAGCATTATCACCCTAAAATTTTATTGAAAAGTAGGACAATAGCTATCCTGTAACACAAAATTTATGTGCCTAAAACATGGAAGTATTAGATTCCCTATCTGGACTGTTTACTTTTAAGTTAGCATATAAAATAATGGGTTTTATTATGTCATTTTCATATGTATGTGTCATTATACTTGGCTCTAATTTGTCTCCCACTCTTATTGCCCTCTACATGCACACACATACACACACATGCACACACACACACACACACACACACACACACACACACACAGTGAAGAGAAAGATTGCTAAATGAGAAAAGAATCTTTGCCAAATGCACATGAATTAGTATGTTAAAATCTAGAATAAGCAAAGAATCATAAAAATCCTCTAAAATCTATCCAGTTAATAAATGTGCTAATGAAGTGAATAGTTATCAACAGAAGAAGTGCAAATGGTCAATAAATAAAGTGTTCAACAGCAGAGAATTGCAAATTTAAACTCCTACATGAAATGTTTTGAAGCTGACACAGAAGCTTTCTGCTGTTAACCATTTTAACCTTGAATCTTTTCCTTTCAATAGTTTGATAGTGTAGTGAGATATTCTGAAGGAAATAATCTCAAAGAGTTCTGTATTTTAACAGGTTACTTTTGACCCGGAAGTCTTTTTCAACATACTGCTTCCTCCTATCATATTTTACGCAGGTTACAGTCTGAAAAGGGTAAGTGCTTTTTGCATTTCCTCTGGTTTAACTAGCCTTAACTTTCCCGTGCTTTGATAGGTCTTAAATGTCCCATACAGTTTTTAATACTTTCCAGTTCAGAAATAGGCCATGTCTTCCAAGTTCTCCTTCCTTTTCTCCTTCTTTTTGAAATGTTGAAATTTATGCCAGTACCAGAATGCTTTCTCTGATTGGCTTCTTCTAGAGAACGATGCTTTTAATATTAGCATAGCAAAGTACAATAGAAAAATGTTCTTTCTCAATTCTTGGTAGATATTCTAACAGAGCTTAACTTCTTTTTTGTCAGAGACATTTCTTCCGGAACCTTGGGTCTATCTTAGCATATGCCTTTCTTGGAACAGCGATTTCTTGTTTCGTTATTGGGTAAGATTTGAAGCTTGAAATATCTTTTAGGCTTCAGATTTCCTAAAAGAATACCCTTTGACTTGTGTTTATGTGTTATTGTAATCTCAAATGTCTTTTGAGAACTTTTGTGGTACTTATTAGTAATAAGTTTTTTGACTTTTCCTCAAACCTAAAGTAGTAGCCATATTTAACTACTTGTTAATTCAACCCAGGATTAATCACAGAGTATTATAGTAGATTCCTTTTCTTATCCTTCTTTTATTCTAATTTCTTTAGTAGTTGGTATTTTTTTAATATAGGAATGTGTTTTTTGGACAGGTCCATAATGTATGGCTGTGTAACCCTGATGAAAGTGACTGGACAGCTTGCGGGAGATTTTTACTTTACAGATTGCTTGCTGTTTGGTGCCATTGTATCAGCCACAGACCCAGGTATGTTGTTGGAATGGAGCTGAAATGCTTCAGTTTGCACTGTTTCCAGTCAAAGCCTGTGTGGATATGCCTTTGAGGTGTAGAATAAGGATTCGCACTATGCTTTCCAATTGTGGAGGAATAAAAATTTCTTCATTCCTTTTGGTTTAAGCACATATTTGGTTGTTTTATTTTTTATTACATTTGCTATAACTGGTTCACAAATTGATGCTGTTCTTATTAGAGCTATTAAATATTTTCTTCAGAAATTTAAATTGGTTTTCATTTCCTAGTGATTGAATATAACAAAAGAAAAGCTAGGTTATAGTTTTTAAAATTGATTATATGCTTCCTTTTGCATTTCTAGGCAACCATTTCTCTGAAAATCTTCTGTCTGCATTTTACAGTAGAAAAGAATTTGGACTTTTGTTTGTCTGTTTATTGAGACAGGGTCTCACATAGCTCAGGCTGACAAGCTGACCTGTAACTCACTAGGTAGCCAAAGATAATCTAGATAAGCTTGAGCTTCTGACCTTGAACTTGTCTTCGGTTCCTTGTTTCCTTAGCACTGGGTTTATTGGAGTGTGCCACCGCGGCTGGTTTATGCAGCACTGGGGAGCAAACACAGGGCTATGTGCATCCTTGGCATGCACTCTACTGCTTTTTGTTTTTTTGCTACAGGGCCTCACCGAGGCCTAGGCTGGCCTCAAATTCCTGACAGTCCCCTACATTGGCATTGCACATGCTGTGATTGCAGGCAGAAACTGCCATGCCTAAATAAGAAAAGCAGCTTTAAAATGGCTACTATACGGCAGCTATGCTGATAGGAGTAGTTTCAATATTAAAAAATGCTTTTCACAAAATTGGCCTTATGGCTATAAAATTGTTATTGACAAAGCTTGCTTCTTTGGATTTCATTATGAAATCTCTAAGAATTTGTGTTAGTTAATGAATTTAATTGCTAATGAAGTTTTAAAAAATTAAACGTGTATTGGTAAACTAACAGCTGTGAAGAATCTGTAGAAAATTTGGAATGAAATGGTTGGGGTTAACATCCAAAATATATAAAGAGTTCAGTAAGCTCTGAACCAAAGGAATAAGTAGTCCAATAATTATGCTGTTTGATGAACTGATAAGATACTCCTCAAAAATGTGCAAATGGCCAATAAGTACATTTTTAAAAAATGTTCAACGATTTTAGTCATTGGAAAAATGAAAACCAAAACTGCAGAGATTCCCTCTCACCCCAGTCAAGATGTCTATCGTCAGGGAAACAAATAAAGACACCTGTTGGTGAAGCTATGGGATGGGGTGGAAGAACTCTTGCTGGATGTGGTGACGCATGCCTGTAATTCTAGCATTTGAGAAGGTAAAACAGGTGTATTGCTGAGTGTGAGGATGGTTTGGGGTACAGAGTAAGAGCCTCAAGAAAAGGGAACCTTAAATACTTAGTTTAACTAATAAGCTTTCTAATTTTATTAGTTAAAAATAAACTAATTTATTAAAATTAGTTTAATAAATAAGCTAATTTATTAGTTATAAATTATACCTAACTTATAAGAAATATAAATTAGTTCAACCACTATGGAAATCAGTTTGGGAGTTCCTACAAAACAAACAACCTAAAGCTAGAACTACTTTATGATCCAGATATATCCCTCTTTAGGTCTAAGGAATGTAAATCAGCATACTGCAGAGATACCCGCACACCCATGTTTATTGTAGTACTATTCATAGTAGCATGCTGTAGAATCAGCCTGGGTATCCATCTACAAATAAATGTTAAAGAACGTGTGACATGTACATATAGATGCATACATATACACCTTGGAGTTTTATTTTGCATAAAGAATGCAGTTATGTAATTTCCAGAAAAATGGGTGGAACCGGAAATCATGTTAAGTGAAATAAGCCAGACTGAAAAAGACAAATTTCACATATTTTTGCTCGCTTATAAAACAAAATTTAAAAAGAAAAACCATGGAAAGGGGTGTCAGGCCATGGAGAAAGGGAGGGAGAGGAAGCTTTAGTTAGGATGTAAAAACAAGAAAATAATAAAAAAAGAAAGAAAAAGAAAAACCATGGAAGTAGAAGGGGAGTTATTTGGAAAGAGAGGAACAAGCTTATTAGAAGGACAAGTAGTGGTAGTGGGAGGAGTGTGATCAATGTATATTATCTATATCTATATATAGATATATATGTATACAAATACACACACACACACACACACATATATATATGAAAACATGATAGTGAAACCCATTAGTTTGTACAATTAACAGACAGTAATGAAAGTAAATTGGAAGAAAGACCAGCATAGGGGCAGACTAAAGGGTTTTTGCTCTTTGTTTGGTGTTGGGTGCCTTGTTCATGGTCGGCATGTGCTTTGTCACTGACCTATGTCTCTATCCTTTAGACTGAAGATTTAAAACCTGGGGTCAAAGTTTTCTTTTACTATTAGTCAGGATTTGGTAGAGGTTTGTTCTGTTTCAACTTTTGCCCTTGTGAGTTAATCATCTTCTTTAATTGTCATAGAGCAGAATGGAAACGCGTGTCCTAAGGTTATCTTTGAATTCCTTTCTTAACTCTGATAGCACAGGGAATCATAGAAAGGGGGAAAATGTGTTCCATGTGCTAGATATAATTCTGAAAGATTCCTTAGAGCTCACTAGGTAGAGTGGTACATGCTTGTAATCACCACACTTGAAAGTGGAGGCAAGAAGTTCTAGAACTTGTGGCCAGCCTGGGCTATCTAGTGAGACTGATTCAAAATGAATATTTAAAAAGCCAAATGAATAAACAAAAAGAGTTCCCAGAGGGTCATTTCAGACAGACATTTGTATGGTTTAGTATTTTTATTTTTTGTAGTGTTGAAGATAGAAGAAATGTAGGGACTCATGTATACTAGGCAAGCACTCCATGGCGGAGCTATATCCCCAGTCCCTTTGGTGCTAATTAATTAACTAATTTTGTATTGGATTTATGTGTGGTGCATGTGTTCCTGTGAGTATATGTATACATATGTGCATGTGTGTGTGTGTCTTCCTCTATCTGTTTCCACCTTAGATTTTGGAGACAGGATCTCTCATTGAACCTGGAGCTCACCAATGTAGACTGGGTGGACAGTGAGCTCCAGGGTCTTCCTGTCTCTCCCTCCCCAGCACTGGGATAACAGGCGTACTTGTTATGTGCCTTTCCATGTGGGTGCTGAGGATTTAAACTCAGGTCTTCATGCTTTCATGAGAAGTACTTTACTAACTAAGCCATTGTCCCAGCCCTCATATTTTTGAGTTTTGATACAGAGCCTTACTAAGTCCCCAAGGCTGGCCTTTAATTTACTCTCTATCCCAGGCATCCTTAAACGTGGTGCCTTCCTGCTTCAGCCTCTGAGTATTTGGCACTATAAGTTGTGCCACCCAGATTTGCCTTAGTTTAATATTTTGATTTTTTTTGTATGTAGTTCAAGGTGAGCGGATACTCATAGCCCAAGTTAGCCTCCAACTAATGGTAATCCTTCTACCCCAGTCTCACGAGTACTGAAATTATAGGGAGGAGCCAGCATGCCTAGTTGTAGTTTAATGTTTTTAAAAACTGATATTATATTGTTTCTTTGTAGACTGCACTGAGCCTGGCCCCTTATATTTTTCAAGAAGCCAGCGGCCTCAGGTAGACCTTTCTAAGGCGACATTACTTCAGCCTTCTGCTTTTGTTTTAGTTGAAGTATTTCCCATCTCAAGCAATAATCTTTTCTTTATATAAAATTTGACAAATTTCTTTTCTAGATTATGTAATTTCTCTAGTTCTATTATTTTGCATTATCTTTTTAGAAGTTTGAGCCATAGATTCTCTATTCAAAATTAGACAGTATTTTTCCACTCTCCTTTTTCTTTTTTTTGTAGATTAAGATACTAGTATCTTTTATTAAAAATATTTCTTAAAATTTACATAGTAAGTGGAATCATTAAGTAGAAAGGTGCAATTATTGACATTACATCCTTACAGAAAACATAAAATATTGAAATATAAGAAATAATTTTGAATTTGTAAATTTTATGTTTATATTTACAACTCTATCATTTCCCCCTCAAACAAGTCACATGGAACCAATTTTATATTCTTCTCCCTTTGTTCTACATTCTGCAGTGACTTGTGGCTTTGTAATCTCTGTGAACACAATACCTTTTAAAGCTGTGGAGGACTTTAGAAACTAAGAAGGTCAAGAGCATTTTGAGTCCCAGCCATCTCAGGCTTCATCAATATATTTTAATTCATGTTGATTCTTATCCATGAACTTTATTTCTCTCACTTCAAATGACAGACTCACTGTTTTGATAGCTCACTTTTGACTTAATTTGAAAAAATAAACAAATAAGATACATAATGTAAATCTTATGAGTCAACCAAGTAGTAGGTGCCCCACATATTATCTGGCAGTGATAGGTGCCAATCTTTCTGTGGATATTGTTATAAATTTAATTGATTTTGTTTAAATATTTTAATTAAAGTACTTATTTAAAAAAACTATCTTTTCTCCTTTTTCTTTTTTTTTGTTTTTTCTTTATTTTGGTTTTCTTTATAAAAAACTATTCTTGGGGGTGGAGAGATGACTCAACAATTAAGAGCATTAGTTGCTCTTCTAGAGGACCCAGGCTCAAGTCCCAGCACCAATTATTCAGTTCCAGAGGATTCAGTGCCCTCTTCTGGCCTCCATTTGTACCAGCAACTCACATGGTACACAGATGTATATGCAAACGAGATACACACTTAAAACAATAAAATAAAATCTCCTCCAAATATTTTTTTTTCTTTGAAGGGTTTAATTTTTTTTCTTTATTTTGCATGTTTGGGTGTTCTACATGCATGAATGTCTGTGCACCATATGCTTGCCTGGTGTTTGAGGAGGCCAGAAGGGGTTGTCAGGCCTCCTGGAACCAGTGTTAGAGACTGTTTTAAGCCTCCATGTGGGTACGGGGAACAGAGCTTGTTTCCTGGAAGAAGAGTCAGTGCTCTTAACCACCGAGTCTGACCCCCAGTTTTTCTTTGCTTTTCAGAAATTCATGCATGTATATGTAGATGTATGACTTATGTGCACTTTGATATGTCTACTCCTGTGTTCTATAATAAAAATTATATCTTTTAAAACACAAACTTTCTGTTTTTATGTTTCCTATTTGAAAATGCTCTATTGTTTCTGGCTATATTAATTTTTCATATCTTCTTGGATCTTATTTAATGGGTGAGCAATATATGACCCAGGAATGAAAGTTGCAATGTATCATATCAATCTTACCTGATTTCTAAAAGTTCTAATATAATTGCCTTCCCCAAAGACGGGAGTATTGTGCTTTCTATCCTTACCCTGCAATATCCTGCTATGTTGGCTTCTTCATCAGTTAAGTATGGCAGTTGTTATTCTGGTCATAAATCTTATGCCAACCAAAAAACTAAAGTTGCATTTTCATTTCCTTAGGTCTTTACTAAACTTGGTATGGTTTCAATTTTCAGGTTAAATAAAAGCGAGTCGTAAAGCTCCAAGGGAGAAAGGGTGTTTACAGAAAGAGATACTTTTCATATTTTCTTCTTTGTTAAAGATTAATTGCTAATTTATAAGAAAGTCTGAATATATTCTTTATAGAAAATAAATGTACAAACCAGATTTCAAATTTACATGAGGACTATAGGGCAACTCAGGCCTTCAAGATTATTTTCAGTTGTTTTTGAGAATGGTGGTGTTGCATGTAAGCCAATTAAGAGCAAATATTGTCAGAAAATTACCAAATCTGTAATTCAGTAAGAGAACGTTAGAAGGGAAAACATGCATTTTGAAATAATATCTAAAAGCTGTTGAGGGACAGATGCTGTGTTTGTGATGTCTAAGTATTCTGGTTCTTTCTGTCTACTAGTGACTGTCCTTGCCATCTTCCATGAGCTTCAAGTTGATGTTGAACTCTATGCTCTTCTGTTCGGCGAAAGTGTCCTCAATGATGCCGTTGCCATAGTGCTGTCCTCGTGAGTGTTGATTTTCTTTTTATACTCTGAATAATACATGCAAGGGTACTAGCTTCTGAAATTCAGTTGTTGAATAAAATACATTATAAATAGAAATATTTGGAACAATGAGTCTTTTTACCTTGCTCTGGCAGGAAAATGCGTTTTATGGGTAGTTTGGAAAAATGCATGGAAAAAATGAAAGAAAAATTGATATATATTCCCATCATATAGAAATAATTCCTATAAAAATTTTAGGGAAGTTCCTTCTACTATTTTCTGTTAGTAATGTATTTACATAATTGTCATTTTAATGTCTGTAATTTTATTATCTGTTTAACATTAAAACACAAATACTTTTTTGCTTAGGCTTAAGTTTTGAATTTCAAACTGCATGAAAAGGTTTGTATAGAAATTCTGTTCTTTGCCAGGCAGTGGTGACACACGCCTTTAATCCCAGCACTCAGGAGGCAGAGGCAGGAGGATCTCTGTGAGTTTGAGGCCAGCCTGGTCTACAGAACTAGTTCTAGAACAGCAGCGGCTACACAGAAAATTCTCTTGAGAAACTAAAGTAAGAAAAAAATAGAAAGGGAAGAAAAAAGGGGAATTCTGTTCTTACTTTCTAACCCTTATAGCAGCTTCCTAGAACTGTTTAATAAAAAGTTTCTTTTATGATTTACTATTTCTTTAAATTCAATCATAGATAGGGATGTTTTTTAACCTCTCTTTTCTGTTTTTTTTTTATTTTTAATTTTTGGCAGTTTTGGCGATTGAACCTATAGTCTTGCACATGCCTGATCCCCAGGCACCCATTTTTTATTTTGAAAGTAGCGTATACATAGGTGTATTCTAGCTTTATTTTCATATCAAAAGAATTTATTCTTTGCAGCTTTGCGGTATTCTTTGTGATCCACACTAATTTTTTTTCTCTCTTTCTCAATCTCTTACTGCTGGCTATTGAAGAACTTTCACTCCTTTACTTTCCCAAAGGAAGCTGTAGCGTTTAACCTACAACTTTCTTCATTTTGCACAAGTTTAGGTATATGGTAGAATAAATTCTTAGAAGTGACTGAGATTTGTGGTCACTTTAAAGCATTAATGTGATTTTAGTTTTATTTAATATTGGTTAGTTGCCAGTCAAAGTATTGTATCATTTTATACTTCAACCACCATGATATGAGAATATCTCTTTCTTCACAGCCTCCCAATAAACTAATATATATTTTTGGAGACAGGGTTTCTCTGTGTAACCGCCCTGGCTGTCCTGGAACTCACTTTGTAGATCAGACTGGCCTTGAACTCACTAAGATCCACCTGCCTCTGCCTCCCAGGTGCTGAAATTAAAAGCGTGCATCACCACTGCCTGACTTTTCTTGATAATAATTGTTGAATGAGTAATTTCTTTTATCTAATTATAGAAGTTGCTGTATGTGTTGTTATAAGGTATTTGTAGGTGGAAGATATTCTGCACCCCTGAGGAACTCACTCTTAACTAAGGGCATACACAGTCATGTGGGCAGCCACCCTTACCTTACACTAAAACTTGCCATGAGCAAGATGAAAAAGGCCTTCACAGTTTCTCATTACTTTAATTTTTTCCCTTAGCTTCTACTTTGTTAGCTCTAAAAGAGTCATAAGTCATGAACTCTGTTTTGCACAAGCTGACTGCCACTCTTGAGTTACTGGGCAGTGAGAAATTACCCTTTCACATATATAACACTAAGCCCTTTGGTGAGCTGGATAGCAGTATTTAAAGTCCAGATCCCTTTTTGTGAATGCTCCATGTGTGTTGCTTCCTTCCCTGGTCCCACAGCTGTTTAGTCCCAAATAAACACACAGAGGTTTACATTAATCAAAAGCTGGTTGGCCTAGTAGCTCAGGCTTCTTATTAATTCTTTTTTTAAAAGATTTTTATTTATTATGTATACATGGTTCTTCCTTCATGTATCCTACAGTACAGAAGAAGGCACCAGATCTTATTACAGATGGTTGGTCGCCACCATGTGGCTGTTGGGAATTGAACTCAGGACCTCTGGAAGAGTAGCCAGTGTTTTTTACCTCTGAGCCATCTCTCCAGCCACCTTCTTATTAATTCTTATAACTTATATTAGTCCATAATTCTTGTCTGTGTTAGCCACGTGGCTTGGTACCTTTTTTAGCGAGGCAGTCACATCTTGCTCACTTTGTGTTTGGCTTCTTCTGTGTCTGGATGATGACTGAATACTGAAACTTCCCTCTTCCCAGAATTCTCGTTTCCCTGCCTCTACTTCCTGCTTGACTACTGGGCAATCAGCATTTATTCAAAATACAAGTGACAGGGTACAGACCATTATCCCAGAACACTGTGTCTATTGCCAGAATTTTTTATAATTAAATCAAGAAATGAAACCTAATGGCTATAACTAATATTGATGCTGATGCTGAATGTGAGTACCTTCAATGATGATAGGTGCAAAATAAAAGTTGTATTCTATATAAAAGGAAGAACAGATGGATAGTGTAATTGTAATTTATATAGTTCAGAAACATGAAATGATAAAGATCATTGAAACTTCTAGTATATAAGTACACCTGAGACCTCCAGTCCTAAGTGATTATCCCAGATAATTACTTTACAATTTAATCATCAACTGATAAGCATTCCTCTCCTTTTGCTCTAATAAGTTAAGAATCTCCCCTCCCAAAAAAATCTTAATTCTGTTCTGGTCCTATCTTAAATGGCTGTTCACTGTATTTTACATTTTTCATCAATAAAATAATCCATTTCCTGTAACTTTAGCATATGATCAGTGTTAAGAAAAATGAATACATAGAAAACATTTGAGCTTGGTGATGAAGCAATTAGTTTACAAGAGAAAGCTTTCCCATGGATGTTTTCACAAAGGGCCATACTTCTATTGTAGCCTTTCTCAGACTGGGTTCTGTGAGTGAATAAAGCCTTCTAGAAAACAATTTGAATCATTTATTTCTTAATTCTCTTAAGGGTAATACATCACTAGTAACTTTCTGAATTAACTCATGCCATCTCTGCTGCAGCTTTCACGGGAGGTATAACAGGGGAACTTTTAGCTATGTGTCTTGATGGAGCTGAGCAAATGAGTTCCTGCCCCCAAATGAGAGGGAAAGCAGTTATGTTGCTCCATCAGGGGAAGTTACTAGATGGAGGTATTCAGTGGTATATTGACAGTCATCTTGCACTCACCTTTGATGCATTTCAAAGGATGTTAAGTATACTTTACTTGTATTGCAATCCCTTAGTTTGATAATTGCTGTTTATATTCTATAATTTGTGAGAGAATTGTTTGACAATTAACAAATTAAGGTAGCATGTTAAAATTTATAAAATTTATTTTGGAACTTGTTTATGTTTCTGTTTAGTGGAAGCCAATTCTCTTCTTCCATTATGTGGGTTCTAGGAATTGAACTTAGGTAACAGACTTGGCAGCAAGTGTCTTTATCCACTGAGCCATCTTGTTGACCCCAAAGATATGTTTTAAAATTTCTTGGTCAAGGGTATAACCTTTTAAAAAGTATGTGACATTGCCATATTTCTCTCCAGAAATGGAGGCTGTTTTGGAAGCTCTTGATCAGCACATAAAGAGTTGTAGATGAAGTAGTACTCTGTTTCCATGAAAATAGCACAAAGAAATAGATCAAAGTATAAAAGTCACAAAGATATTATTCCATGCTGCTGTAGAAGCAAATATTAGGAGGAGCCTTGGAAAGTCCAATTTATGTTTTTGTTTTTACTGTTGTCTTACAGAAATAAAGTAAACAGGGCCTTTTACATTCCTTTTGTATGCTAGGCAAGTGCTCTGTTACTGAACTTTATCTCCAGGCCCTAGAAGCAAATTTTAAAGTCTATAGCAATGTGCAAATAGCTAAGTAAATTATGCTGTTAATACCATTTTAAAGTCTTAAATATCTTCGTTTTGTAACTCTTGTGTCATTGTTCATTGAAGGAAGCAGAGTTCAAAACTATGGACGGGTTGATAACTAAGCACAGTTGATAGACTGCTTGCTTAGCACGCATGAAGCTATGGGTTCAATCCCTAATACTGCATTACAACTAGGCATAGTGATACACATTTGTGATTCCAGCACTCGGCTGGTAAGGGCAGAAAGATCAGTAATTCAAGGTCATCCTCAGCTACACAGCAAGTTCAGAACCAGCCTAGAGTACTTATAGAACCATGACTCAAAGAATGCAAAACATTATGCATGTAACAAAATAAGAGAAAATAAATACAGAAGGATAAAAAGATGTATCTGTTAAGGCAGTAGATAATGGGGTGAATTTTTCCTTGAGCCATATGTTACATTAATATTTGATGTGGGATGTCCTTCTGTATATGTCTTATTTTTATTGGCTAATGAATAAAGCTGTTTCAGTCAATGGCTTAGCAGAATATAGCTAGGCTGGAAGAGATATAGAGAGAGAGTAAACAGAGTCAAGGAGACACCATGCAGTGGCTGAAGGAGAAAAATGCCAGCCAGAACCTTACCCAATAAGCCACAGCCTCGTGGCGATATTCAGATGAATAGAAATGGGTTAATTCAAGCTAGAAATACTCCTGAGTCATTGGCCGAACAGTGTTGTAATTAATATAATTTCTGTATAATTATTTGGGCCTGGGTATCTAGGAAACAGTCTCCGCCTACAAATATTAGGATTTTTTGAAAAGTATTTAGATACTTATGCCACAAGATGGGATATGGAAAAAAATGAGTTAAGATTTCAACCCAGAGGCCAGCATTTCCCTAAAATAGAAGACACAAGCCTATCAACTTTTCCACGTGTTCTTCATTTTAGGAGTTAAAGAATAAAATAATGATTAGTGTCAAACTGGAATTTAGACTAGTCCAAAGAGAACAATCTCAGGAGACAAATCATTCATATTATGGTTTATTCAGTATTTTGAAAAAAATTATCAAAGAGGATGAAAGTTGCATAGAAAAGTATGTTTTCCTTCCTGTAGAGTATTTTAATGTTATATAGCATAGTTTTATCACATTTGTAGCTGAGGTTTTCTGTCCTGCCAGCCAGGTTCCCAAATAACTACACTGAGACTTGTTATTAATTACAAATGCTTGACCAATAGCTTAGGCTTATTACTAACTAGCTAACATTTTAAATTAGCCCATTTCTATTCATTTTCTTGCTGTCACGTGACTCATGGCTTGTTATCTCATTTTGTACAAATTCTGTTTCCACCGTGTCTGGCTGGCACCTCCTGAGGCTCAGCCCTTTTTCCCAGCATCCTCTGAATCTGGCTACCCCAACCAATCTCTCCTACCCAGCTGTAGACCAGTCAGCTCTTTATTAATCAATGGGAGCAATACATATTTACAGTGTACAAAGATTGTTCCATAGGACACTTACAATGGTGTGGCCTTTTGTATATATGTAAACATAACATGCTATTAAAGGTCAGTCCATGTTTATCAAAAATAATATATACACTTTTAGTTTCAAAGTAATCTAAATATTTTGAGCATTTAAACACAAATGTGTAAAAACTTCATTCAGATTGAGAGTTTGAAATTTCTTAATGCTATTACTAGAAATTGATGTTGGGCTTTAATCAAATAGATGCTAATTAGGAAATTATATTCTGGTCTTAAGTTTTTAACAGTTTAATCTGGGATATACAAAAAGAATTTGTTATACATAGTATAAATAATATACTTTTAGCCTTGAACCAGAAAACAATTATAGTAAGCCCAGTGTGAATTCTTTATATTCTTAGGAATGTGTTTTTCGTTCCCTTCTTTGACATGGTTTGTATAATGTCTTTGAATCTGCACTTTTCTGGTACCTGAATTAACTGAGATGAGAATTGATTCAGTAACAGTAAACACTGTTAGCAAAGACCTACTGGTAAAAGTGGTTTTCTTGGTTATTTTTATTTCCCAGGGTGACTATTAGAAAAGCTCTTTCCAGAACAGGTTTGGAATTTGAGTTCAAAACAGTCCATTTTAATCGCCTGGCTTGACTTGGTTCAGAGTGACTCTTAGTTGAGGGTGGAGGATCCAGCTAGGTATATCTAAAGTACTCTAGAGTGGATCCTAATTCCTTGGGAGGTCTCTGAGCCCATTTGCTTAAAGAAGTCTGTTTTAGTGACTAAGTACATATTAGGCATTTGGCCTATTCTGGCATTTTAAAAGTTGGAAAAATCCTTCATTTTCCCCAAAGAGGAACCCTATGCAATGGAGTTGAATATTGAGCAGTTTTTTAAAATGTTCTCATGCCTCTTCAGGAAACAAGTAGGGTTTGTTTGTTTGCTTGTTTTCATTAGTATATTAGGGCTTTAGAGCCCTCAGAACACATAATTCTTAAACATAATCTCTCTCTCTGTCTCTCTGTCTCTGTCTCTGTCTCTGTCTCTCTCTCTCTCTCTCTCTCTCTCTCACACACACACACACACACACACACACACACACACACACACACGGGCCAGGAGACAGAGACGGGGGAGGGAGGATATCCTAGTATTGAGGATGAAGAGGCTTGGTACAGCTTTTAAATAGAGGCTTTTTACTCTTGAAAGCTATATTTTCCTTCTAGCTGTATGTACTGCAGCATTTTTTTGTAGTCTTTTGTAATTCACATACAAAGAGTTGGGGGGTTTTCTTCTGATTTTGTCATTAAATGCTTCCAGGTTTTGGTTTTTTGTTTGTTTTGTTGATACAGGTTGTCACTTTATAGCCAAGGCTGTCCCAGAACCAGAGCTCCCCCTGCCTTAGCCTTTCAAATGCTGAGGTTACAGTTGTGTGCTATTACATCCAGATTTGGATAATATTTTAAAAGTGAAAGTTGCTACTAGAATTGAGAACAATCTTGTCTTTTTGAAGGTCAATAGTGGCATACCAACCAGCTGGAGACAACAGCCACACCTTTGATGTCACAGCCATGTTCAAATCTATTGGAATCTTCCTTGGGATCTTCAGTGGATCTTTTGCAATGGGTGCTGCTACAGGAGTGGTGACAGCTTTAATATCCTTTTATTCTAGTTAGTTTTTCTTCTTACCCTTCTGACGTAGTTTAGTGACACATGGTTTTTCCGAGTTCATGACTGAAATTGCTTTTATAGCTACCAATCTTTTAACTAAGAAGTTGTTCTAAAAACATGAAACAAAAATCTTTGTTAATATGTCACTTACTGAATTCCATTGTTTTACATAGGCTCAGTGTCTTAAAACATGTATGGGGAGCAGGATCTCATGTAATTCAAGCCAGCCTTGAATTTACTCTGGAGCTGAGGATGACTGGGAAGTTCTGATCGTCCTGTGTCTTCCTCCCAAGTGCTAGGAATATAGGCATGCTCTAGAAGCCAGCAGAGGACGTTGAGTCCCCTAGATCTGAGTTACGGATGGTTGTCAGCCATCCTCACAACCCAGCTGAGGCTGTTTTGATGAACATTGAATACCCTTAACCATTGAACGGCCTCTCCAGTTTCATCCAGCTGTCTTTTAATACAGTCTTATGTAAAACATGTGTGATTGTGATTCTTTTTTTTTTTTCGAGACAAGATTTCTCTGTATCTTTGGTGCCTGTCCTGGAACTAGCTCTTGTACACCAGGCTGGCCTCGAACTCACAGAGATCCGTCCGCCTCTGCCTCCCGAGTGCTGGGATTAAAGGCGTGTGTCACCACTGTCCCGCACGTGTGATTCTTTTTGAATACTCTTGGTTTTATGCTGGAAGAGAGTACATTCATGATCTTTTTTTGGTTTTGACAGGGTTTTTCTGTGTTGACAGCTCTAGCTGTCCTGGAACTCACGTTGTAGACCAGACTAGCTTCGAATTTACAGAGACCCACCTGTCTCTGCTTCCCAAATGCTGGGATTAAGGTCGTGTGCCACCATGCCCGGCTATCATTCATGGCTTTTTAATTGATGAGCTGAGGCATAGAGGGCAGTAATTTGTGAGGTTTCCTCACTGACAGGAGGGCAGCTCCATAAGGTCTCATTCTAAGAATTCTTTACCGTTTTCCTTTGTGCCTTTTGTGTTAGAGAGGCTCAAGAGCCCTTCCCTAACTTTTTATAACACCTTGAATTGGCTATTATTTTACTAGTCATATTTATGTGTTATTATATGATTTTGTTACCAAGCTTAACAGTTTTACGTGACAAAATTCACCAAGTTGCGGGAGTTCCAGTTGCTGGAGACGGGTCTTTTCTTCTTGATGTCCTGGAGCACCTTTCTTTTGGCTGAAGCCTGGGGTTTCACAGGTAGGTCACTTTCTATGAGGAGTGACTTAGAGAGCTCCTCTTCCAAGTGAACCAACCTCCTTTAGTGTTTGAACATACTTGTTATGCTTGGGAGTTAGGACAGAGGTTCAAATGTAAAAAAGATTTTCAATGCCAGAAATTGGTTCCTCCCAACAAAATAAGTCAAAGTAAATGAAAGTGTCAACATTATGCATGGAATCTTTTTCTGTAAAATAGGAGACTTAGTATAAAATTTAGGAGCCCTCCTTTTCCGTGAACTGACTTCTCTGTCTTTGCAGGCGTGGTGGCAGTGTTGTTCTGTGGCATTACACAGGCACATTATACATACAACAATTTGTCCACAGAGTCTCAGCATAGAACAAAGCAGGTAAGAGAGACTTTATAGTTGATGAATAAAATTTTCCTCCGCTTAGCAAAACAAAAGGTTTTATTTTTCAACTTAAATGATCTGTGATCAGTTCAAACTGATGGTTTCTCTTTTCCTGGCACCTGGCAGGGTGCAGGAGAGCAGCTTCTAGGGCAGCAGTTGGGCAGCAGAGTTACCAGAGACTGTTAGGGCTGGACTTTGGAGACTAGTCAGTTCTTCATATCTTCCTAATGTAGTGGCTGCTAAGAGGAACGATTTGAAGCCCCACTCTGACTTGGTCAGAGTTCCTGCTGTGAAGTGTAGCAAAGGTTAACTTGTCTGGGTCTGCTAAACCACACAGGGCTAAGCTTCCTGCGCTCTTCACCCTGTAGTACTGCTGCTTCCAAGAGCCTTGAGGGGGACTGTCATGAACTGGGCACTGTGAACAGTCTACCTGAAAAGAATTCTGAAGGAATTAGGCATATCATTTTCTGGTCTTAGGAGATATAGAAGACTAATAAACAAAATGTATAGGAACTAGGAACTTACAGTTTTGCAGAAGGCTAGAAAAGGTGAGTTGGTTTGCTTTACCAATGGTAAAGCAAAATAGCAGTCTCTCTCTCTCTCTCTCTCTCTCTCTCTCTCTCTGTCTCTCTCTGTGTCTGTCTGTCTCTCTCTTTCTCTCTCTCTCTTATCCCATGCTTTCTCTAACACTTCAAAAGAAATTAGGCTCCCCTTCTGGAACATTTACATGGAGGTTACACTGAATATAAAGCAGTAAAATAGCCAGGGGTTTGGTCGTTTTTAGGTGGCAAGGTAGACATAAAAACAGCAAGCTAAGAGCTTGCAGCCTTTTGGTGATATGCAACTTGCATGCAGAAAATACTTATAACCACTATGAATCATAGAGTGTGGGCTTGAGTCTGTACTGTGCAGAACATCTGGGGAGAGACTAAACAGTTTGAGGCTTGAGGAGCTCGATGTTATCATCATAGAAGTGGTGCATCTAAAAGATGGGAAGGATTTGGAATGACCTAGTGGAGGGATAGGTTAAATTTGGCCTTGACTATTTTGTGAACTAGAACGTTCTTGTAATATGAAATGGTTAGGAAAAGCTCAGGAGAATATTCTGTAAGGCTATATGGAACTCGATTTTAGTGTTCCTTACTACAGTTTTCTCAAGCCAGAGTCACACTCATCTTTTAATGTATGTATAGCCCGTGCAGTTTGTGTGCCAAACAATCCAAGAGGAATTGTGACAGAAACTTTGTGCCTGCAGTGCCTAAAATGTTTACTTTCTGGCACCTCACAGGGTTTGCCAGCTCCTGTGTTGAGAATTAGAGCTGAGTCTCTGGATGCTCTGTGGCGCTCAACACGGATTCTACTGTTTTCTGGCTATGTGATCAGGAAGAAGTTAGAGAATTCTGTTTTTGTTTTGTCCTCTAAAATGGAGATATAATGCTACTTTCATCCCAAGTCCTCAGATTAAAATGTGATAGTGTACATGGAGTTGTTGCTTAGTATGATATATACTAAGTAATACTAAGGCCTATAGTAATAAGAAGAGAGACTGTACTTACAGCGATTAAGCACACAAATAAGAATAAGAGTATATTGTCATTAATAGAAAAACATATGCCCATTTTAATGTTTGTTCTTATTTTTGGTAAGTCAGTTCTGGGTTTTTTGTGAAGTTTTGGGGACTGGACCCAGGGTCTTTTATTTGGTGGGCAAATGTTCTACCACTGAGTTATATCCTCGGACCTTCCAATTCTACTTTAAAAGATATTTCTAACACTGATTTTGAAAAGAGTAAGTAAGCCAGATGTGTGATGTATGCCTATAATAAAAACACTTGGGACCTGGGGAGGTGGCTCGGTAGGTAAAAGTGCTTGTTGTGCTAGTGTGGGGACCTGAGTTCAGATCTTAGAATGCATGTGAAAGTTGAATGCGTAATGTGAATGTCTGTAATCCTAGTGTTCCTAAAAGAAGATGGCAAGTAGAGACAAGAACATCACCGGAAGCCTGACAGTCAGCTAGCCTGCTAGCTGCAGCAAAAACAAAACCAATCAACAGAGAGACCCTGTCTCAGACAAAGTGGAAGGCAAGAGCTAACCCCTGAGATTGGCACCTGACCTTCACGTGCATTTTGTGACACGTACCTTCATATCCACAACACAGCACATACACACAAACACGTGCACTTAGAAGGAAGCAGAATACTCTGGAATTCAAGGTCATCCAAAGCTACGTAGTAAAACTTAAAACTTCGCTCCAAGACTCCCCTCCAAACAACAACAAAAAGTGAAAACACCAACGAATCTGCCCAAAGCCCTAGAGTTAGCAAGTAGTGCAGGTGTGGTTTAAGCATAGGCATTCAGACTCCTTAGCTCAGGTTCCTTATCTTTCCTATTGTTATGGGGCAGATGACTCCTGGGAAAGGTTGAGGGAGAATAGAGCTTATGGAGAACCTTCACTTCATTGGAAAATTCTTGTCCACCTGTGGTAGAAGCATGGATGTGAGTGGGTGGACCTTCACAGGCATCAGGGGAGGCTGCTGAGTTCATACTCCATAGAGAAGCCCTGTTGTTAGGAGTCAGTCCATAAAAGGAGAAGCTAAGACCTAGCAAAAAAGTAAAGGTGACAGCATCCCAGTGATATGGCAGTGGCCTTATCACTCTGCCAGGGCAGAAGAAGTTGAAAGTATCTTGAAACGAATTTTAAGTGAGATCCACTGGGTGGGGATGAGAAATGGGCATGAAGGGCTGATTGCTTAGGTTCAGAGTCATGTGTAGAAATGATGAAAGCTAGGTTAGGGCCTTCAAAAAGAAACCTTGGCTTTGGGGGAAAATGACCGATGATGAGGACAGCGAGAGGGAGCTGATAGGAACGTGAGGGCACACCATTTCTGGCTCTTTTTGTGGCTTTGGAAATATTGTCTCTACATGTACTCCCCTCTGGGTCACATGATTTCAGGTGTATATATGAGCTTTACATATTTAAAATAACTGCTCATGTTTTTAGTGTGATATTTACTTACTGGAACCTTTTAAATTTCATTTCAGTTGTTTGAGCTTCTCAATTTCTTAGCGGAGAATTTCATCTTTTCCTACATGGGACTGACGCTATTCACCTTCCAAAACCATGTCTTCAACCCAACATTTGTAGTAGGAGCATTTGTATCCTTTATCTAATGTGTCTGTTTAGAAAATAATTTTAATTGAGTTCGTCATGTGGTTTCAGGCACGTGGTTGATAAAATACTTAAATGTGATTTTTTTTGAGAAATCAAGGATATAAACTGTTTTTTCCCAGTTTCATTCTAATCATTTTTCCTGTTCTATTTCTATTTGAGTTTATTGCACAAAAATGTTGGCTGATCGCAGTGACAGAAGTCTCTTTCTACCCTGCTGACCTCAAAGGTAAAGTATTTGTCCCTCGCTAGGCATGGCACCACCTAACTATAATCCCTGTGAAGGTGCGAATATCTGAAATGTTAGGTCTTCTTGACACACCCCTTTCTCAAAATCAAATTTGAAAATGGAGCAGTGGAGTAGCTCGAGAACCAGCTGCTTCCCTAGGAAAACCCTGGCTTCCGTCTCTAGCATAGCACAAGAGAAGGAACAAAAACTGTTGTCTGTTACTAAAGGAGAGAGAGAAACCTTGACTATGGGGAAGTGTTAGAGTCTGTGCCTTAAGGCAATGTGTCAAAGATGAGGAAGGTTGAATAAGGTCACATCTTTTTCTCTGTTTCGTGTAAATGAGCACTTTTATCTTTAGAGCAAACTTGAGGGGTTGACAAGGTGGCTCTGAGGGTAAGGATGCTTGCCACCGTGCCTAACATCTTAGTTCATTCCGTGGGACCCATGTGATAGAAGTTGAGAACTGACTTGTGCAAGTTGGCTTCTGACCTCCACATGAATAAGTAAGTGGAATAAAATAAATAAACAAAGAGTAAATCCAGGGACTGAAGAGAAGGCTCAGAGGTTAAGAGCCCTGGCTGCTCTTCCAGAGGTTCTGCATTCAATTCCCAGCAATCACATGGTGACTCACAACCATCTATAATGAGATCTAGTGCCCCTTTCTGGCCTGCAAGCATACATGTAGACAGAACACTGTATGCATAATAAATAGATAAATCTCTTTTTAAAAGGTAAGACCAACTTGAAAGAAGAATTTGAGACTATGAAAGATATCCTCATGGCAGGATGGGACAGGTAGACTCTGAAGTATATAGAGAGAACCTGGTCTCCTCTCAGAGCAGCTTCCCCAGTGAGCGAGGGAAACGCGGTGAGAAAGTGGAGCTCCTAGCTGATACTTCCGTTTTATAAAGTAGGAAGTGATATTGCCTGCTGAGAGTAGAATGGTGTACAAGTTCTTTGCTGTGTAAGAAATAATCTGGAAACTTACCATTCTTTACCTTACACAGTATCTGGGGGTTAGGAATCCTAGAATATCTTAGCTGAGTGATTCTGGCTCCATAACCCCTCAGAAGGTTATAATGACATGGTTTGCTGGTAAGGCGCTCAGGACTTACCTGGGGCTGGAGGAACCATGCCAACCTCACTCGTATGGCTGTCAGCAGAAAGGACCATATTTCTGTAGGACGTATCCATAGGGGAAGTTTCCCAGAGTGAGTGACCTGAAAGTCCAAGATGGAAGCCAAGGTGCCCTTTATAGACCAGTTGTTGGAAGTGAAATCTCGTCATCACTTCTGCTCTATCTGCTGGTCATACAGACCAACCGTGGAACAGTGTGAGTGGAGATCACACTCCCTGACAGGAGGCAGGGGTCATTAGGGACCATCTTGGACTCTGGCTCCCACAGATAAGAGTTTGGTGGAAGGCAGAGAGAAAGTTTATGAAGTGGGCATGGGGAGTTAGGGGAGAGTCAACCAAAAGATTGCAATATGACTGCTGAGCATTAAATGGGGACCAATTTGACTAAGGAACAGGTACTTGTAAGATACCAATCTTCCATGTCATGTGAGTCTGACCAGGAAGACTTAGTGGTAAGCACAGGAAAAAAGGCATAGTGGGTCCATTGAGGTTTATGGTTTTGCCGAGTGAATATGATGGAAACAGAAAAGAACAAAGTAGATGTAGGCTATGGGAAGAGTGTCTCTACCACATGGAGAAGAAGGGAAGCAAAGAGAAGAGGGCTGGCCATCAGAGGCAGGACTACTGTGGTCTTTGGACTGAAGAGCCAGATAGTTGGAAAAGTGAAAGGAAAGAGTATGGTCAGGGAAGTGAATGCTTTAAATAAGAGCTTTAAAAACACTTAAGAATCAAGATTCTGACAGGGAGCAGTAATTTTTTTTAAAAAAACTAAAACCTTACAAGATCTATGTTAGAAAGTGAGATTTTATTGAAATATTGTTCTACAGTCTTACAACAAAACAGCAAAGTCCTGTCAATAAGAGTCCTGTCTTAGCTGGAGGGCACGTGCTGAGTTCAGCCGTTCTAGAGCTCGTCACTATTGAAATTTTTTCGAGTAGCCACAGTAGTTTAATCTGTAATAGTTAGCCTAGAAATGAGGTTAAATAGTTCCAAGGTTTCTGAGTTTGTTAGAATTTGAGATTACAAATAATCTATGAAAATAATTTTTAACAAGGCCAAAGCTGTCCTGTCTCTAGGTTACATTTGCTTTCGTGTGACAGTGACTCAAATTGACCCAGGTTTAAATGAGTAAAATGAGACAGAAGTTTATTTCTTATGTAAAAGTTTGAGTTTGTGTGGCTATGGGATTGTTATGAACTCGAGCAGCCTTGGTGCTGTTCTCTGCAGGGAATTGCCTGCATTCTTGTGGTCCATGGCATCTGACCCTTGTGCCTCCTAATTGTCTTTAAGGGCACTGCCCAAAAGTGTACATACCGCTTGCACATAACAACGCTGGCAACACCTACCTGCATGGGAAGCTGAGACTCATACTCTGTCTGGGTGCCTGTGTTTTCAAAAATTGGGACTAAAAGGGAGGAGGGTCCTGTGCTTATAGGAAAAGACTAGGCATGTGCTTGTGAAAACTAAGTGTTGTCACACCACCTCCCATGCCTTTTTGCTGCTCTTACTTTTTCCTTTTTTAGTGGAATTACTTTCAAAGAAATTTTAGATTTTAGTGTTTTTGTGTTTATGGCAAGAATAATGAAGACAGCACAGAAAGCTGTCCTATACGTGATGCCCCCGCTCCCAGTCAGCACCTCACATCAGCACAGCACATTCGGCACATCAGCACAGTACATTCGGCACATCAGCACAGTACATTCGGCACACGGAACGAAGCCTGGAGTGATCCAGTAAGTGAACTTCATGCTCATCCTGAGTCTCCTGGCCTTCCCATAACCTACTGTTACTATATCAAGGTCCTAGCCAGGACAGAATATTGCATTTGCTCTGTAGATTTCTTTGGGTTCTATTTGACCGATAGTTTCTCAGTTGTTCCTTGATTTTAGTGAGCCCTGAAAAATTTGGGAATAGTGACCAGGTGTTTTGTAGAGTGTTCCTCAAATGAAGTTGTCTCATGGTATCCCCAAGATGACAGTGGGGTACACGTGTTCTTAGAGGAATGCTGGGGAAGTGAAGTGCAGTTGCCATCCCCATGGAGAGGGCACCTAGTTCCTAACATTAATGTACTGATGTTGGCTTTTGTCACGCAGCTGCCAGCTCGCCCCGTTGCAGGGTGGATCCTGATTTTCTATCTTGTCCTGCTTGGAAAAGAAGCCACCCCATGCAGCCCGCATTTAGGGAGTGTGAAGTTAGGGTTCATCTCCCTGAGGACTAAATTTTTACAAAATGGTTTGTAATTCTTTACACAGAGATTCATCTGTTCTCCATCACTTGATGTTCTGTTCAGTTTTTTGTTTCTAGCATTATTTATTTGAATAATGCTTATTCATTATCTTATATATTAGATTATTTACATTTTAAAAAGTTTACTTGTTCAAACTATCCCGGCTTTAGTCATCAGGAGCTTGTTGGGTAGCCCCCACTTCTATTTGACATGCCATGTCATTGTGGTTTGGGGATTTGGGTTTTGTTCTTTACCACTTCCTTACTTTCTGGAAGTATAAGATACTTCTGCTCGTTTTGTTCTCTTTATGACCAAGAATTGTCCATTTCTCCAAGGAACTCTGGTTCCTTTCATTGGGAAAGAGGTATTGGAAACCAAGACCTGGGCTTTGGGTGTGCTTAGGATACTGGATGTTCTTTCTTCTAGACCAGTTCTCTACCTATGGGTGACGACCATTTTGCAGGTCTAACAACTCTTTTACAGGGGTTACTCAAAACTATCAGAAAACACACATTTTTGTATTACAGTTCATAACAGTAGCAAAACTGCAGTTATGAAGTAGCAACAAAAATAATTCTATATTTGGAAGTCACCATGACATAAGAAATTGTATTAAAGGGTTGTAGCATTAAGGAGTTTGAGAACACTGTTCTAGACCATGTCCATGGACAGAGGAAGGTGCTGTCCATGTATATAGTAAGTCATGTACATATCCATACATCCATAAATATTTGTTTGTAACCATTAGCACCTCCTGTCATGAGTTTTTGTACTGATGTCTCCAACTGTAACCTATTACCATTAACAGACCACTGTTTTCCTTGTTGGTTAGTACACGTCCATCCCTACCTTAAAGAACTTGACATCTTCCATTCAGTTATTTAGTTGTTCAGTTGCAGTATATGTAGATACTCATGTGCTGCTTAAAGGTGGAGATACGTTTGGAGAAATGTGTTATCACGCGGTTTGGTCACTGTGTGAGCATCATATAATATATTTATGTAAACCTACATGATATAACTAAGTTATTCAAAGGAGCTTTTTGATTCAGTTAGGAGAGTTGATAAATATGAGCTATATGGGGGCTGTTGCTGATTTAACAGCATGCTATTTCACAGGAAGCTTTAATTCCTTTTTTGGGTTTTTTTGGTTTTTTTTTTTTGTTTTGTTTTGTTTTTCGAGACAGGGTTTCTCTGTGTAACAACCCTAGCCGTCCTGGAACTGGCTCTTTTAGACTAGGCTGGCCTCAAACTCATAAAGATCCGCCTGCCTCTGCCTCCCAAGTGCTGGGACTAAAGGCGTGCGCCACTACCACCCGGCTCACAGTAAACTTTCTTTACTCATGCCATGGGATATGTGTGGTTGTCTGAGAACAACTTTTAAGACTCAGTTCTCTCCTTCACTATGTGGGTCCCAGGAATTGGCCTAAGGTTGTCAGGCTTAGCAGCAAACACCTTTACTTACTGAACCATCTCCCCGACTGGTGCAAACTTTTTGTTTGGGAAGTAGAAAGAATACACTAAAATGATGACAGAAAGTATATAGTAGATATATAAATATATATAATATAGTAGATATGTAAAACCAGTAACAATCACTTCTTACCAGCTATTGTGTACTACACATAATTGTTTTGCTGTTCTTGTATATGGGACAGCATAGTAGGTTTGTTTGTACCAGCATCAGCATAGACATGTGAATAATGTTAATCTGTGATTAGACAAAAAGAATCTTTCACGTCCATTATAATTATATGAGACCACTTTGGTGTACGTACTCTTGAGTGACTTGAAATGTTATGTGGCACTTGGCTATATGACATTGCTAGCATTGTTAGTACTTCCCTGGAAAACAACTCCATCAACAAACATTCCATTTTCTCTTTTCTGGGTGATTTTTTGTTGTTGTTCATTGATTTTTAGGTGAGGTCTCGTGTATCTCAGGTTAGCCTCAAACTCACTGTTTATCCAAGGCCAACTTTCAACTCCTGCCCTTCTGCTTGTACCTCTTATGCCAAGGTAATCAGTATATAATTCTTACTGCACCCTTTTTCCTTTGACCTTAGCCATTGCACTCTCCTTGAAAGGTATTTGCATCAGTACTGCTTCAACCATGCTGCTTTGCTTTTACTGTTGCATTTCCCTTTCTAGTCCTTTTAGGAAATGTAGTGGGGATGGCATTGTTTACCCTGCAGTACAATTTGTAATTATAAAGCACAGTTTCTGAGATAATGAATGGAGAAAAAGACATTCAAACTGTTTCTTAATTAAGACCCATCTGACTTGACATGAAATCTGACCTTTTTGCAGGTTGCAGTATATATTTTGTGAGACCCAGCAGGGCTTTGCAGGAGTTTCCGTGAAGTGACTGAGCTGCCCTTTTTGTATTTTTAGGAAGAACAGGGCAGGTTCGCTGGCATGACTCTTCTTCCTCTCAACACTGCAATGGAAATGATGTGTCTGTGATGTTGATCATAAAGAAGGCCCTCTTTTATACATCTTTTTCTTCACTTTGTCAATTTTCTACATGCTGGACATACGCCATCAAGTCTGGTAACAGCTAACACATGTGATTATTTCCATTTAAATTCATTTGAATGAAATAAAATTACAATGGCAGTTCCCTAGTCATACGGATTGTATTCCAGCTGCTCTGTGGATATAGACCATTCTGACAGACAGCACTGTGGTAGACAGAATGCTTGCTCGCCGTCTCAAATGTATAGCTTTTATTACCAGTAGTAAAAGAAATTATCCTTAACCTCTTAATGATTTTAGATTGCTATTTTCTTGGGAAGAGCTGCCAATATTTATCCCTTGTCTCTTTTACTTAATTTGGGCAGAAGAAGTAAGATTGGATCAAATTTTCAGCACATGATGATGTTTGCTGGTAAGTTGCAATGTCTTCTCTTTTCTACCCCCAAACTACCATTCGTGCTACATATGCTATCTTCTATAGCTGAAGATGAAGGTACTGTGTTGGAAACGTTGACACTGAATCCTCAAATAGAAAACTTAGTACCATTTCCCCGTCTCTTCTATGGGAACTTTTCACACTCCGCTTCCAAATCTTTGGTTTCAAAATACACCATACAAAGTAAATAAGTTAAAGATGCATAATTTTTTGCAGAAAAACCTGCAAGTGGATGTTTATATCAGTTCTAGCCAATAACTGCCAAAAATCTACAAATAGCTTGCTTGTTTTCTTTTGCTCAGTTCCAGGATTGAACCTAGTGCCTTAGGCATGCCAAGCGAACACTCTACGATTAAGATGCTATATTACCTATATCTATATTTCTCCAGCTTCTCCTCCTAAAAAAGTTTTGCTTTTGAAAATGGGGTCTAAGTTGTTCAGACTGACTTTGAAGTTACTGTATAGTTCAAGCAAGCCTTGAATTTATTTGTGCTTCAGCCTCCTGTGTAGCTGACCCACCACCAGACCTACATTTGTCTGTCTCTCAGTGGACAAATGGGGCAGAGAAGCAAGGACTTGATAAAAGCTCTCCTGTGGAAAATTACTAAATGATAAAAAGAACAAACTTTTATTCACATGGTAGCATGGATGAGTCTTTGAAGTGTTATGTTGAGTGAAGGACGTCAGTCTCAAAATTTACATGTATGGTTCTATTAATGTAATATATTTTTAAAGATTATATTTATTTCATTTTATGTATATGGCTGTTCTCGCTGCATGTATGCCAGATGGTTGTGCGTCAGCACGTGGGTGCTGGGAATTGAATTCAGGACCTCTGGAAGAGCAGCCAGTGCTCTTAACTGCTGAGCCATCTCTCTAGCCTGATGTGGTATTTTTAAAAGACAAAATAATAGTGATGCAGAGCAGGCCGGGGTGATGAGGAAGCTGGGCTAATGGGTAGCACAAAGTAATTTGAACAGGAATAGTAAAATTTTAGCTCTGTTTTGATTGTGGCAATGGTCACACTCTTCTATGCATTGTCAAAACATTATAAATTGAATTTACTATACATAAGTTACTAAATTTTAAAGAATTATTAAGAGATCAAGCTGGATATGGTAGCAGATGCATGCAATCCCAGAATTTGTGCAGCTGATGCAGGAGGACTGTGAATTTGAGACCAGTCTGAGCTACAGTAACAAGACCCTGTCTGAAAACTCAAACAAACAGAAGATCGATGAAAGTCAGTATTATATACTAACTCTGGCAGTCATTCTTTACATATGTTAAATATTTCATATTTGTCTATATGCTTTCAAGTTTTGAGGTTATGTTTTATGCCTCTGAGTATATATAGTCTACATTAGTGATGAGTTATTGAAGAAATATTGAAAATACTTCTGTTCCCTGTAGGCCTTCGTGGTGCAATGGCCTTTGCCCTGGCCATTCGCGATACTGCCACTTATGCACGACAAATGATGTTCAGCACCACACTTCTGATTGTGTTTTTTACTGTGTGGGTATTTGGTGGTGGCACCACTGCCATGTTGTCATGCTTGCATATAAGGTAAGTAGGAGCTGGAGACCTCGTTTTCATATTCCATTCTAATTCAGTTTCATTTTATTTTTAGTCATTAGAAGATTCTAAGCTTTGTCAAATCTTTTCATTTTTTTCCTTCTTAAAAACTGCGTAGCATAACATAGAAATGTAACATGATTAATAGAAGCAGAAAGGGGTTCAACCTGAAGGTCAGAAAAGCAAAACAGCCAGCCACTGGCTCTTATCTGTACCTCAGTCTGAAATGGCAATCCTGCATCCAGGAATCTCAGAATGAAACTGTGTGAGAGCTGTCTCCTCCCGTCTTGTATTCCTCCCCAGGGCTGGAATTAAAGGTGTGCACCACAACCACCCGGTTTCTATGGCAAACCACTGTGGTTACTGGGATTAAAGGTGTGTACCACCACTGCCTACTCTGTAAGGCTGACTAGTGTGATTGTTTTTACTCTCTGATCTTCAGGCAAACTTTAGTTATTAAAATACAAATGAAATACCAATACATAGAAAAAATGAGCCTGCAAGAAAGATAAATGAAAAGCATTATTACTACTCTGAAGGTTAGCAGTCCAGACCTTTGCTATGCATTTCCGCAAATGGGCAACACTGAAGTGCTCTTCAAACTGGTTTTGAAATGTGATAACAGAAGAAAATGTGTTACAGCATGGGCATTTGCCCTGGTAAATATCATATTATTTGAATAACAGTATATATCCTGGTTGATTTAACCAAATTCCTGTTGTAGTTCTATATTGCTTTTAGGCTTTAGCTATTTCCATCTGAGGGTTTTGCTGTTACTACTATAAATGAATGCTCTGAAGCCAGCATGCCACCATGCTCTTGTTTAATTATTTCTTCAGGATGCATTTTCGGAAGGGGGATTGATTAAGCCATAAGATATGCACGTATTTAAGGCTTTTGGTCAGATTACCAAATTCAATCCATCAGCATTATGTAAGAGTCCAGTTCACCAAACTCTCATCAGTACTAGACATTATAATTCCTTTCATCTTTCCAATCAGCACCATTTCCAACCTCACAAACCTACCAAGGTCAAAGTGATGTAGTCATGGTCTTCAGTGTGTACTGCTTAATGTATTCAGTTTGAAAGCTCTTTTGTATCTCGAGTTCTGCATTTGTTTCCATGGATACAGCAGCTTGTGTCTGAAGTCTTTGTGGATTGTGGTTCTGTGTTTGGCTGAAATGTCATAGATGTTAAGAACTACCAAGCTTCCAGGATATATGGGCCTCATTTGAAAAAACAGTGTTTTCACCTAATAAGAGAATCTGTCATTTGCTTCTTTTTAAAAACTTTCTATTATGCCTTTTATGCAAAAGCAAGCTAACCCTTAATTACACAGTGAATGTTCTTAATGTCTTAATCTCTCTTTACTATTCAAATCCCTTCTAATTTTTGTGTTAATTCTGTGTATAGTAGATAATATAGTACAGCATATGCTTTTATACATCCAGTAATGTTCTTATAATCCTACTTACCACTTGTAAGAGGACTTGACATTTATTAAGCACCTACTATGTGCCAGGCATTCTGTTAAGTGTGTTTAGCTTGTTTATCTAACCATAGTAAAATACAGGTTTTAAAGGGTTGTTAATTGTCCAATATTATACAAATAATTAAATGGTAGACAGAGAAACCGCTATTCCTTGCTCCTTCAAACATGATTCATCAAGAAATGAGTGTGGTAAATTTTTCTTTTCTCAAAAGCTTGGAACTGAAGACTCTGCAGGGAGAGTAAAACAAATGTGAGCTAGCTTAGAAGAACTAAAACTCATCAATGGAGAATCCGTTTGTTCCCCTCACTGCCCTCTACTCGCAGCAAATAAAAGCCCCATCCTTACCATCCTCCTTCAGAGAGAAAAGAAATCCCACCTCCATCACTAGATTTGAAAGCTCCTTGCCTGGCCCCATCTTGCCTACTTTCCAGCACAGTTGGAGGCTTAATCATATCCACTGCCCTGTAGTTTTAGGCTATTCCTTAGTTTCTTGTTTTATTACAGTGTTTTGGCCTGCTTGTGAACAGAGATTATATGTTAATTTTTAAATGTTTTAATTAATTGAAATAGAAGTATATCACTTTCCTTCCTCTAATCCCTCTTAGACACCTTCCTCAAACCCCTCCCATGTCCCTCCACTCTCAAGTGAGGCTATATATTTTTATAGTCCTTACTGGGTAGTTTATTGAATGCAGTGAATCAGACTAGCATGTCAAGTATATATATATAGCATATAGTCTTAAATTTTATATTTTAATTCACATTGTTGCTTCAATTTTTAACATGTATTGACTTAAAATGTTATTTATCACATTTACTTAATAGTTATATCACACATCTTTCATTTTCTCTATTTTAACTGTTAGTAAATTCTTAATAATTAGCATAAATAGAAAATGTCAGTTCTTTTATGGCATTTACTATCCTGTAATTATTAGTTTATCTTTTTATTAGCATTTAAAGCCTAAAAAGTTTTTTTTCCTTCCTACCAATATTAGGGAGTAAAGGTGAAGGCTATATTTTAAACACCTCTTCTCTCCCACCTTTTTAGTGGTGTAATTTTGAAGTTGCTGACGAGTTGGGACTGTTGAAGATTTGTGTACCCACCAACTTAACCTTTGCATTCTTGGTCCTTCCTTCTTAATTTTGGGCAAGGCCTTTGACCATTCAGAGCCTCAGTTTTTACATCTTTAGCATGACTCCCATTCCCTGGAGTTGTGAGGATTTGGTGAACTAGTTTCTGCACAGCTGTGCACAGCATTTCAGGTGCGCACAGCATTTCAGGTGCGCACAGCATTTCAGGTGTGCCTTTTATGCAGTCACTCAATAAGTATTTACTGAGCACCCACAGTTTGGTGGACACTCCTTGTTTCAACTTCCAACTCACTAGTTTTTAGGAGATTATTTTGTCTCTTTGGAGGATATTTAACAATATTTGGAGACATTGCTGACAGTCACAACTAGGAGAAGGAACTGTCGTTGCTATCTAGTAGGCAGAGGCCAGCACTCTGTTTAGCGTCCTGCTGGGCAAAGACTTGGCTACTGTCTAGATTTGCAATTAAAGAATTATCTGGCCCCAAATATCAGAAGTGCTAAAATGAAGTAACCTTATTCAAAAGGACAGTGACAATAAAAAGATAGAAAAGGCCTATGTTCCCATTTTGTGGGAAAAGTGATAAAAGAAAAACCTAGTAAATAAATAAATGACTGTGACAGTTTTAGATGATACTAAATGTGATGGAAATTAAGATGTTGTGATCGTGACTGGGAATGTGGTATATATAATATGAAGAAGCCAGGGAAGGTCTCTTGGAAAGGTTATATCTGAGCTCAGTCTGGCTGAGTGGCAAGACCCTGCCAGTTCAACGACGACCAGGACAGAGCAGTCCAGCAGCAAGGGCCCCAAGGCAGGAACAGATGTGGCCTGTTTGACACAGAGAAAAGCTTACATGATGAGAGTGATCAAATGGTAAGTAGAAAAAAAAAAGGTGGACAAGACCCTAAAGGGTCAGGGTTCTGAAAACTACCTGTGAAGGGCCAGAAGCAAAGCTTTTAGACTCCCTCATTCATGTGATCTGCCTCAGCCATGCAGATCTGGTGTCACAAACAGCCACAGGTGATATGGAATCACATAATATGGCTGTGTTCCAACAGGACCTTATTTACCACTGGATACACATGAGGGCTGTGGCTTGACCCTTCTGTAGGGTCTTGTAGTATATAGTGAAGACTTTGGATTTGAAAATACAGTGGAAATCTTGAGAATATTAAAGCAAGGGAGTGACATGATCTAATTTCCAGTGTAAAAAGATTATGTCCTCTCTTTGGGGAGCAGTGGCTCCCCAGTGAATTAATCAGCTTGCATCCTTTCACATCATTTCTGACAGTCACATTTGGCACCCTATCATTTAGCTAGCACACATGCTCTGCATTTCTTTGTCTCTGAGCCTTTGCTTGGCCTGGGATTTTCTTTCATTCTTAGGAATCGACAGAGCCACCCTCCCCTTCCCCCATTCTTTTTTCTTGGAGTTGCTGTGTAGCATTGGGTCTGTCTATCACAGCAATTATCCCATTCATCCTTGTGATGCGGTATTGCTTTAAGAGCTACCTGCTGCTTAGCACTAGTGATGCATCAAGCACTTTAAAAGTTTCTCAGTACATTTTCTCATTTAATCCTTGCAGCAACACTTGGTGGTGATACTAGCTCCATTTTCTGGGTGACATAATTGCAGTCCTTAGGGCCACATAGCCTAATTGAGCTCACATAGCTAGAAATTACCCTGGAGTAGTCCTGAACCCATCCTGCCTTAACAGCAAACTGTGAGTCTGCTATAGTTGAATCTGTTTCCCCACTAGTCTGTGAGCTCCTTGAAGACAGGGGCCATGTTTGATTCATATCTATGCCCTGTGCCTAACGCAGTGCCTGGCAAATAATAAGTGCTCTATAAATGTTTATTACATTGGTTTTGGATAATGTGCCATTTGAATGTTTGAATGTTCTATCCTCTAGACCACTAGATGTCACTTGAGATGCATAAATGTGGTGAGAATCCACTGTGACTGGGAAGCTGTTAAACAGTGTCTGGCCATTTTTAACAAAGTGAAAATGAGTCTTGGTTTGAGTTTTGAATCTGGTCATGGTCATCTGTTTTCAAATACTTGACCATGACTCCCTTGCCTTCCAGATAGTTTTGTATCATTTTCCTCCTATGAGTGTTGTCTTTGCAGATGTTGCTACAGCTTCTTGTACTGCTGTGTTGTCTGTGCTGTCTGTAGTTGGTAACCGAATTAATAAACATTTGAGCACCTATTGTATGTCAGGTACTATGCTAGACTCTGGGGATACAGAGATGAATTGAGACATGGCCTTTACCCTCAAGGAGCTCACAGTCTTTTTGGGGAGACGGACAGGTAAATAACTATACTGTGCTGTGAAGTGTGTTTGGAATAAGAACTCTGTGCTACAGAAGCACAAAGGGGAGGTGATTCTGTGTGAACAGCTTATAGAGCAGATACTTTGGCACTTGACAAATGAGTAGAAAACTGAGGGTACTGAGGGAAGGAGGGGCATAAGCGAACAAAAGTATTGACTCTTGGAGCTGACAAGGGTCTGGGAGAGAAGGGTTAGACTATGGCAGGACATGTGGAAGAAAATGACTGGCAATGGGGGGCAATGGAAAGGTAGGTTGGAGTAAAGGGTGGCCACTAGTGGGTAGAAAGTTTCGGATGTCCTACAAAGTACTTTAGACGTGACACTCAGGGTTTTAAGTTGTTTTCAGAAGCTTCTGTGAAAGCAGTGACCTAGAGAGTTCCATCCTATCCAGAGTTAACTCTCGGGGAGAGCCTGGCAGCTGGAAAGGCTTACTCAACAGAACCATGAGTCAGAGTGAGGGCTGAAACAGCGGGGATGGCAAGGAGAGGAGGGCTGACAGGCAGGGCAGGAGAAAGAACAGAGTTGGCAAGTTCCGAGACTAGAGAGGAGACTCAGAACTGGCTAATGAAGTTGTTCCCTGGGATGCCCAAAGAAGGAATTTGATGTAGGTACACAGGAGTTATGAGGAACCAAGGCTGATGTCCATCAATTACCCTGCAGTCCCCCTGCAACTGGACCCCCTTCTGTCCTCTTAACAATATTTCCATGAGAGCCGTGCTCCAGCTTTGGTTGAAATCTTTCTAATCATTCTTACTGAGTAATTAGGGCAGTTTCTCTCCCTCACTACTTAGAGTGGACTGACATTCAGAGAAGAAATGCTATTTTACTGAAACTGGTAAGTGGGATTTTAGGAATAGAACATTTGCCCTGCTTGCCTTAGACCCAAGGCTGTTTCTAAAGAAAGTGGAAGGCCGTCAGAAATGTCCCCCAAAACCTGTAGAGAAGAGGGAACATTAACTATTTTGGAGCTTCTTGTTGAGAAAAATATTTGTCTGACAGTGTGCATATGTGAGTAGATCTTCTGTTGGCTTCCAAGATCTCATTTGCTCTTTGTGTTTTTCCTTTAGGGTTGGTGTTGATTCAGACCAAGAACATTTGGTAAATATGCGCTTATGTTGTCCCTGGCATTTCTGTCCAGTGTTCAGTCGTTTGGAAAGAAAACTGTCTCTCCTAGACTTCATGCTACTTTTTAGATACTGTTTTGTTTGCCTCTGCTCTTAACTGACATGTCTGACTTTTCTCACTACTCCATGAAACAGAACCATAGTTTAGACAGCAAGTGGCTATCAAGGGTGACAGCTTTCCTATCTGTGGCCATCCTGGGGTTTTGCCATGGAGGAGAATAGGCTCTTCAGCGCGCCTGGGTGATCCAGTGGCTGCTCTGGCACGGGTAGCCTTTTTCCACTCTGGTTGCGCATGAAGGCTTGTCTCTGATGTCAGCCCCACTCCAGCTGCCCTTCCTGTGTAACTTTCAAATTGGATGACCAGCAGCTGCCCTTGAGAACTGTCTAGAATCTTCTGAATGTCCAGCTGGTCCCCCCTGCATGTTTAGGGGGGGTTACACTCTCTTAGCATAAGCCTCAACTTTTCCAACACAGCGCCTTCCTTCCTTCCTTCAGTGTGTCAGTTTCTCAGCTGCCCCTATGATCTCCAGACTTGTAGACTGAACACAGCAGAACTGTCTGCCCTCATGAGACTGACCACCCTTTCTGATATTTCCACCCTCTTTTGTAATGGTTTCTGAGCACCACTGAGGAAGTGGTTATCTATTACACATTACATGAGGAATCACAAATGAGGTTTTTGAAGATGGAAAATATCTTTTGAAACATAATTCCTATTATTTTCTGAAAGAAGCCGTGGTTTATTTTTCTGCAGGGTATGCTTTAAAAGAAAGAAAGCATTTACTCAATTCATTTCCCAAGTGCTAATTTTGAGTGATGACTGTGTGTGTGTATGCCTGTGATACAGTAAGTTCTTGCCCATTTTGTGGTCAGAATCTTAAAGTAGAATTCCCTGGACAAACCAGATTATATACTTTTTCATCCTGCCAGGCTTCTGAGATAGTTCCAAGGGCTGCTTGCATCTCAGTAGTGATAAAACATTTGCACAGCCCTGTTACCCCTGTCACCGTAAAGGAGAAAGAAGGGAAAGAGCCAGATAGGTGACTAGCAGTTGTGGCAAACAGAAAGAAATAGTTTTCCATTACATGCAGAACCCCATGGGCAGACGTTAGCAAGATGGCCCAGTGGGTAAAGGTGCTTGCTGAAAAGCCTGACAGCCTAACTCTGATTCCTGGAGAGCTCATAAAGGTGGAATGAAAGAAGTGACTCCACACAGTTGTTCTCAGACCTCCGCATGCATACTGTGCATGTGCGCCCCCCCCAGAGATGAAAAAAAAATACAGTCAAGAAATGGAAACCCCATGGACATCTCAATTACATTGTTTACTCAGTAATTGCTTATGTCCATTATGAGGCCTGAGAAACATTCTAGTCAGTATGAAACTTAGGGGTACACAGTAGTTATATATATATATGGTAACTGTAGATGATTTGCTTTACAAGAAGTGAAGGCAGGGCCAACAAGATGGCTCAGTGAGTGAAAGTGCTTGCTGAGCAAGTCTGGAAGGCCTGAGTTCAATCCCTGGAACAGATGCTGGAAGAGAACAATTTCTAATACACCAAATAAAGAAAGAAATGAATAAATAAATAAATAATAGCAATAATAATACAATATTAGTAGTAGTAAAAGTAGTAATAGTAATAACAACAAATTTAAAAAAAAGTGAAGGCAAAACTTTGAAAATGAGGCAGTTCCATGGATTTGAAGTATAGCTCACTGATAGAACGTGTAATTAGTTTGTACAAGGTCCTGGGTTCCCTCCCCAGCAGCAAAAATTAAAGAAGAAAATAAGAAGTGAAGGCATGAGAAACTTAATGATATAAAAGCAAGTTCAGAAGTTCTTGCGTGCTTGTGAGCACATGCAAGATTCTCGGATATTTTTATAGTATTTATGTATGTGTGGATTCAAGTTGAGGGGCAAAATAAACTGTCTGGGGATTGGAAGGGCAGTAAAGAAACAAAACCTAGACTCTAAACTCTATGCCCTTAAAAAAGTCACAGAACCATGGAACATTAGTTCTGGAAAGGGCCTTGGTGAATCTGTATTGCTTGCATTTTATGTGTGAGGAAACTCAGGCCCAGAGAAGGAAGGAGGTTTGCCGCAGTAATTAATGTCAGTGAGCCAGGACTGGGACTGGATAGCCCAACTATGACCATTCCATATTACAAATAAGGGCATTTCATATTTTTGTAAGCTATTTTAGAAGCTGTCTGTTTGCTGGGTTAGTCTCCCTCCTAGTCAGTGAGTTCTACCATAGCATTTCCTTGTTTTCATTTTGCCACTGTGTTCTGAGCATAGTAGCAACTTTGAAAAGGCCAGTTATTTGTGAAGTCCATGGCACAGCTCTCCAAATACAGGGTGAGATGTTTTCTTCTGTAGGTGCCACTGTGTCGGCAGTGCGAGTCTTTCAGATTGAGGAGGGGAATTAGTCTGCACCGACTTTTCTTTAATCTGTATGTGTGTTTGTGTGTGTGTTCACACATGGGTATGTATGCATGTGTCACAGTACATATGGTGATCAGAGTCCAGCCTTGGGTATAGTAAAATAGGATCTCTTTGACGTTGATTGCTATGCACACCGGGTTTACTGGTCTATGAGCTTCCAGAAATTTTCCTGTCTTCACATCCTATGTCACTATTACCATTGAAGTTACAGAGAAGTGTTGCTATGCCTGGCTTCATGTAGGTTTTGAGAATTCGAACTTGGGTTTTCATGCTTACATGGCAAGTACTTTTGTCACAGAGAAATCTCCTTAAGCCCCCATAAAAATTGATTTTTTATATTTTTTGAAATTATAATTACATATTGTTTCCCTGTTTCGTTCTCCCTCCAGCCTCTCCCATATATCCCATCCTTGTTCTCCTTTTCAAATTCATGGCCTCCTTTTCTTTAATTGACTCCATGTTGATTTTTAAAAGGCAGTATAATCATCTCTTAGTAAGCTGCCTGAGTCAGAGATGCTTAGAAAAACATTGCAGTTTCCTATACAAGCCACCGAATATCTAATGTTACCCGTGTTGGACACTATCTTTGGTGAAGGCTCTATTTCTGATTCTTCAAGGGAATGGCTCCAAATAAACCTGTCTGCATCTGTGGTATTGATTTATGTATCATTTGTCTGCAGGGTGTTCCTGAAAATGAAAGGAGAACTACCAAAGCAGAGAGTGCCTGGCTCTTTCGGATGTGGTACAACTTCGATCATAAGTATCCTTAATGATAAAACATGATGGTACAGGCGTGGATAAGCACAGCTTAATGAAACGATTCAGTGTGTGCATGACTGTACCTGTGAGTGTCTGTGTGTTGGGGAAATGGTAGGGACGAACTCAGCAACTTATACATGCTAAGCATGTACTTTACTACTGAGCTACAGCTGCAGCCCCGGAACAACTGTTTTGCCTTCCGAAGCATAATACAAAACCTGACTCTCTCTATAAGTGTAGAAATACATTCCCACCAATAAATTCCTTTGCAAACCCAGGGAACTAGTAAGCACTGACTGTACGGAGAGAAATCCAGAGACTAAATGACATAGCTAATTTTTTAGAGATTGGTTTATTTATTTATTGAGCAAACTTTAGTATTTGATGTCCTTGAGATAATTTGGAGAATTCTGTGGGAGATATTTCTTGCTTGTCACTGTACTTGCTAGGGTGGAAGGAAGCCTTAGGGGAAAGCACGAGATGAAATGAAATACAGTGTGTTTGATGCTACACTTCTCTAGAAGCTGCCTTTCCCCTCTGAGTTAAGGGCACAATGTCTTTTCTTCCTCAGCCTTTCTCAAGACCAATTCTCTTTTCAGAATGCCTTTATGATTAAAAAAAAATCTTGTATGTTTAGGAAAAATACACTTGCCCTCATGATTAGAAGCTACTACTTACTATATTCTGTTTACTATATTTTCACCTCCATTTTTGTAAGTACTTTAAATTAAATTACCATGTGCATACAAAAATCCAAGCATATCTGTGGCATTAAGGCTCCCATTAGGGAGTGAAGGCTGGGTTTTTTTTTAAATTGTTTAAAGATTATGTCATTACTTTTGGCTCCATTACCAGCATCTTGGATGTATGCCATTCCCATATCTCTTGGGGATTTTTATTCCTCCTATTTAACATTTTTTAGTTTTCTAGAATAAAACATACATTTTCTACATTTGCAAAATAATTTCAATGATTCCAGTTTATAAAAAGAACTTAGTTTCCTGTATGATCTTGTAGGAATAAACCAAAAACTAAACTCTAGTCATTTTAATGCCCAGAGTCCTGGTAGAATTAATTATCCATCAGTCTAGATTTCAGTTCCTTTATTTAGCCAGATTGTTACAAGAGAGTTATAATTTAAATGCAATGACATATGTGAATCTTAAGAATATAGTTCAATGAATTTTGGCCATCTATCCCTGTGTACCTACTATCCATGTAAATATTTGTGTATTTATAGCATAGTAGAAGGTGCCCTGTGCCCTGTTGGGTCAGTGCCACCTTCCCTAGCATGTCCTACAGAGGAGTAACTCTGATTCCGAGTGCAATCAGCTTGAATTAGGTATAACTGGTTTTGATTTTTATTGAAATAGATCACATTTATTCTTTTTGTGTCTTTGTTCCTTCACTGACATCTGTGTAATTTATCCAGAAGGCTTTGCATAACCATAATTCAGTGAGCTGGGGTGCAGGTCTAGGGCGTTGTGCATACTAGAGAAGCATTCTGCCTCAGTCCTTGTTTTGTTGTTATGGTCAAAGCCTCCCTAGTTATCCCAGGCTAGCCTTAAACTTAGGATCCTCCTGTGCCTGTCTAGCCTGAAACTTACGATCTTCTCATGTTTGCCTCCTGAGTGCTGGGCATACAAGCATGTTTCCTCATGTCCAGCCTTTCTTTATTTCTCTAATAGGCATGGGGCTCTTTAGAATTTTCTTTTGGCAGATTGTTTGGTAATTTGATATAACAAGTCCCTGTTCAGTACTTACTACTAAGTAACAGAGCCTTGATCATTTTTATATCAGCATTCAAAGAATATATCATTTCTGTTTTTAGTGGCTTTGTGTAGGCAGAGTGTGTTTATAGAGAGAGCTTTTATCTTTACACAGACTTTATTAATATAGGCACGTTTGAATGTTGTCCTTTAAGGATTTGTTTTTATATGTATCGTGTGTGTATGGCTGTCAGGAGAAGGAATGTGCTCTGGAGATAGTGAACAAACTGCAGGAGTCGGTTCTCTCTTACCCTGTGGATCCTGGGGGTGGGACTCAGCTTGCAGACTTGGCAGTGCCTTCACCCTCTGTGCCATCTTGCTAGCCTCAAACTTTGGTCTTTAAAATTGTTTTTGAGGTGAACTTGCTGTGTAGCCTAGTGTGTCCTTGCGTTCATACTCCTCTAAGCATTGGGATCACAGGTATGCACCACTATGTATAGCTAATAACTTTTGTGTGGTCTGAAGATTTCCTCCAGGGCCTAAAACATGCAAGGCAAGTACTCCACCTCTAAGCTACATGCCCCAGGTTCTCATTTGATAATGTCCATTCTTTTCCCTGTGTTTTCCTCTTTTTTTCTAACAATTACCTTGAATTACCAAATCTGATGAAATGAGGTTCTAGGATATAGGAGTTTATTACACATAGTTTGTTGTTGTTTTGTAAGTCTTGGGATTTTGTTTTCTTTCCTCTTTCACCTCCTTTGAGCTTCATAGGAAGCGAAGCAGCATGATACAGAAATTCAACCTAGAGCATTCAGATCCATCAGAATCTATAATAAATGATCAAAGCCAGTTTATCAGTATATGCTACTGCAATATTTATTCTTCCCTCTGAACACCATCATTCTTTACTTTCACTTTAATTTTCTTTAGTACCAAACTCAGGATGAATTTATGTTGCTTCAGTCCCAAAAAGCAGAAAAGCAATGGGATGTCATACAACAGGCTCATGAGTAAAAGTCAGACTGGTATCAGCTAGCAGATATGTCCCCATTTCCTTAATTGTGTGACCTCTCTGTGTCCCTGTCTGTGAAATCAAGATAATGAAAAGGTCTCACTTTGCTGTCTCACTGCTGTAGTATGGCAATAAGATGAGCTTGCACATGTAAAGCCCTTTGTCGGCCTCTGAAGAGGTCAGCATTCTATGGCAGTGGTTATTTTAAAGGGAACTATTTGGGGCTGAGGTGTAGTTTAGGAGCAAATAGAGCACTTGCATAGCCTTGCAAGGCCCTGGGTTTGCTCCCCAACACCTCTGTAACAAGTTCCTCATTCTCTTCAATACATAAAGAACTGAATGCAGCCATCCCTTAACCATGTGTGCGCAGCTATCTGAAGCCCCTGCTGACCCATAGTGGGCCTCCTCTCACTACCACTCTCCCAGCCTGCTGTGGGCCCATCGCCAGGTGCCTCACCAGCCCCCAAGCATATGAAGTAAGTGGCATTTGTTTTATTTACTCACTGCTGTTGTCTTGAGGCAGGTTCTTGCAATACGGGCCAGACTGGCCTCAAACTGGGATTACAGGCATGCACTGCCTTGCTCCAGAGTAAGTGCTTTTTATGCACTAATCAAATTCTCTAGCAAGTTCAGTTTGGCTGTTCTGTGGGTTAGACCTCTGGTTTTTATTTTATTTTGGTTGTTTGGATTTCTTGGTCTTTGAGGTATAAAATCTATGAGAGGGAATTTAAGTATATTTTGTTCAAGTAGAAAATACGCTGAAATGTGTAAATAGCGCTAACACCCTCTGAAAATAGACTAATTCCTTATCTTACAGCAGATGATTTTAGTAGGTCATCCTATTTCCATTATTTTAATTTATTTGCAGTTTGTGGCCTGACTTCAGCCGTGGGTGTTTATGTTTCTATGTCTTCATTAGGCTCGTCACAGTTCAGTTGAGAGGATTCTCAAACATTTTTTTTTAATTTCATTACATTTATTTAAACTAAAAAATGTGGTATTATGGAGCTTTTCCTCCCATGGGAAGAAAACCGTACTGAAATGGTATGCCATATCACACTGTACTATGCTGGACAGTTTTGATATCTGTTAAATACAAAAGATGGTCTGTGATTTAGTATCTATAACTTTGGGGTTTTAGGGGAGTGTATCCATGTCTGGTCCATGTAGCTGGAAGGTATAGACACAGCTAGACAGAATCTAGATTCCATATATTTTCCCTATCTACTAACATGATTGATGATTTGGTAAATTTTAAACTAAGAAGATAGTGAAAGTTGTGCTAACTAGTCTGGATTCTAAAATGTAAACACTTAATGGCATTGACTGGTCTTCCCTATTACAATGCCCACCAGTTTGGGCTGCGTTAATGTAACACGTGGGAAGCTGCCGTGAAGCCCCGCAGACACGGAGCTTGCAGCTGATTGTGCCCTCCGTTGTAGTTTCTCAGAGCAGATTCCATGGGGCGTCGAGGAATAGTGGGCAGTGTAAGGGTGGCACCTGGGCCAGGGTAGCAGCCAGTAGCTTTGTTTGGAGTCAGATTTGACAGATAGTGCTAGTAGTGTAGGGAGAACACTCCATGCTGCCTTGTCTCCCTCCCGAGTAGCCCAAGTATGGGTCTTCTCCATTGTGCTACATGACTCTCCATAGTAGTGGTGTTGGTTCAGGCAGAGGCTTGGCTCTCAGACTCCAGAGACTCAATAACTTACATTATCTACAGCCCAAAGGTCCACAGTGCGCTCTCGCTCTCTCTCTCTCTTGCTCTCTCTCTCTCTCTCTCTCTCTCTCTCTCTCTCTCTCTCTCTGTGTGTGTGTGTGTGTGTGTGTGTGTGTGTGTGTGATGTCCCAGGTGTGATGGCACATATCCATGATCCCATCTCTTGGGAGGTGGAGGCAGTAGAACCAGGAGTCTAAGCTCATCCTCAGATACATAGCAAGTTAGCCGTTAGCTTGGGCTAAATTGAGACTCCATCTCAAAGAACAATAACAAATAAGTCAACAAACAAAAACCTGGCACCAACCACCATTAAAAACCCACAAACAAAAAGGAAACAAGTATGCGTCCTGTGGTATATGCCAATATAACACATCATTGTATGAGTTTTCTGAGGCTGCTGTGACAGACTGACGTATTTTACAGTTCTGAGGCTAGAAGTCTGAGGTTAAGGTAGAGACATGACTGCTTCCCTCCAGGCCTCTTTCTTAGCATCTGGTGCTTTGCTGTCAGTCTCTGGCATTCCTTCATGTTTAGATGCTTAACCCTGGTCTGTGCCTTCATCACCTCTTGGTGTCATTTCTCTGTGAGGGTGTCCCTGTGCTATCTATGCTATTACAAAAAGCACTTATGGTGACAGTGTTTTTTTAATAAACTTTTGCATATAAGTTTATTCAATGTTATTATAAGTGTGTAGAATTGATTTTAAGGGGATATTACTAGATCAAAAGGAATGTGCCTTTTACATTTCTTCAAGACCTCAAACTTAAAGAAAACATTACTTAGAAAGTGCTGAAGAGCCCCCACTGACCTGCAAAGGAGCCACAAAACTGTTTTAACCAAATGACAGACACTAGTTAGGTTTGTTGTTACTAGTTAAATATTAGACAGGAAGTGATTTCAGCTGATGGGTGTCTATGGACTTGTTTTTTCAATTGACCTATTTTATTTTAATCTCGAGCATTTAAGGAAATTTCTAGCAATAGTACATTTCTGATAACCAGAAACAGAGAAATAAATTTGCCAGTAGCTCCATTATGGAGTGCTTATGTTGAATGACATTCTAGACATTTCTATACCTGCATACTTGTTATTTTCTTTGCCAAATGGACTATATATTGTTGACTCCCCCCCCCATTTTATAGAATTGTATTAGGTATACTGTTTTGGAAACTTTTTTTCCATTAGAACCAAAAGCTAATGAACCCGGAAAACAGATGTGGTGCGAGTTTCCATGTGTCTCCATGTGTCATAATATGTTGTGTGGCTGGAATAAGAAGTGCTTAGTCTTGTATCATACCCTCATTTGTCTGTTCCCCTGCTCCCAGGTCCCAGACTTTTAAGATCCATGAGGGCAAACTGATAATGTGCAAGAGCGAGTGCTACTTGCAAACAAAGGGCCACGACCCAGACGCTGTGGGAGCATGCAGAATGGACACCTAGTCTAGAGCAGAAAAATCACAGGAGACTGCCAGGAGAAAGTCAGGAGGGGGGGACTGGGGACAGAGGGGACAGCGTGCCTGATGACCGGGAGGTAAAAGAAAGACAGTGGGATAGCTTGTCAGTGCTTTAGTCCACCCTGCACGGCAAGAGACTGCTGGGGTGGGGGCGCAGCTGGTTATGGGAGAGGAAGCCGAGAACAAGTAACATTGTCTTTTAGTCGAGGGTAGGACTTAGAATTTTATACAGAGTGTGCTGGGCTACCACTGAGGCATTTTTAGATAGAGGGTTGTCAGATTGTCTCCTTTTGGAAATGATTCTCTGAAGAGTAGGCTTATCTTACCACCTTGCCTGGCTTTGATTCTTGCATTGTTTAACTACTCTTAAATTTTATACTGTTTGCATTTAGAACCAGGAGCAATTGAAAGATGATGACTCCGATCTTATTCTCAATGACGGTGATATCAGTTTGACATATGGGGATTCTACTGTGAACACTGACTCCGCAACAGCCAGTGCCCCAAGGAGATTTATGGGCAACAATTCTGAAGATGCTTTGGATCGGGAGCTTACATTTGGGGACCACGAACTAGTCATTCGTGGAACACGCCTGGTTCTTCCGATGGATGATTCTGAACCTGCGTTAAATTCATTAGATGATACAAGACACAGTCCAGCCTAAACTTTCTAATGCTCACCTAGTGGTTTGTAAACTTTGCACATGTGATTGTGAAGAAATGTGTACTACCTACAAGTCCTAGTGCATGTCTCCGAATGTGTAAGCTATATAAATGCTATTTATATGGCATAGAAGAATATAAATACCCTGTAGAAGACAGATTGTGAACAGTCTGTTCTCTTTAAGTTTTGCTGGCTGCACTACATTGGCCGGATCTGTTTTAGAAGGTTATTTCCACAGTAATGTTGTGTGTTCTGTTAGTTTTATGTTTCAGTTAAAGTATAAAAAGTGACAGGTTGACCCTTTCTTATATTTATCTGACACTTAACTGGAGTACTAAGTTCTTGTGATGTGAATTAATTTGTGTGTGGCAGGGAAGGGGGAGGGGAGGGGGAGGGAAGGGGGAGCTCTTATTCCCTCGGGAACCTAAGGAAGAGAGGTTCCTTTGTTGGAGAACTTTTGTTGATTGCTGCTGCTTTTGTCATGACTTCTTTCTTTCCCTTTTCTCTGGTGGCCCTTTGTGGTGCAAGGAGCTGATGGCATTTTGATCTCACCCCATTCAGGTTGGGGGCTGAAGTGTGGGGGCTGTTTTTCCCCAACTAATGGAAAAGAACAGATTTCTTGGCTACAGTACATTGATGCTCTGAGAAAGAAGGCTACAAATGACCTCCAAGACCTTATTTCTTTTCTTTCACACCAAGACCATAGGAATTGCATCCAGCTGGCTTAGCCAAAGTATAGGTGTATATAGTTCAGGGTACTTGTTTCAGATTTGGGAGCACTGGAGCAAGTAGACATGGGGCATAAGATGGTGTTGGAGGTCTCTCTTCCCAAATATGTAAATATTCTATACCAGATAAGTCGAAATAGAAAATGTAATTGCTGCTTCAATTTGATTATGTTCTTTGTGTGTATAGTAAGCCTTGTCATCACAAGTTTTTTATATCAACTTAAAACGCTGCTCTTTAGCAGCCAATCAGGAGCAAAATGGAAAATTTTTAAACTTACGATGTTTAGTGGTCACTTGTTAGTCGATAGTTGATGTTAGAAGTTAATTTATGAACCCACAATTGTTCTGTACTACACCAAAGGCAGCTGTAAGAGAACCACAGTGCTCTGCAGTGTCTTTGAAAGGATTCTCCTTTGTGTAAAGTGGGTGTAGTTGTCTTCATTGTCATTTGACTTTTTAATATTAGATGCTAAGCTGCCATGTGTTATTTTTTTGATGGTTTTCAAGGAAGAGCACAGAACAGTTTTTTATTTCATATTCATAGTATGAAAATGGTTTCTATTTTGTAATGCTGCAAATACCTAAAGGTACATTGAACACTTGGAAGGGGAATACTTCTTGATGCTGATTCTGACCTGTTTGTGATTCAGGAGAAAAAAATACAAATTTTGTGGATCCCCCCCCCAGGTCTGAGTAGCATTGCCTTAAATCCAATCCAATTAGAAAATTAATTGCTTCTATGACGTTCAAATTTTCCACTGAAAAATACCCTTCCAAACAAAACATGCACTTACTCCCCAAAAGGGTTCTGTGCCATTGTAAACACTCCTGGAGCTTTTAAGGGAATTCTAATGCTGTACCCTTTCGTGGCAGCCTTGACTCTTGGCCATGTGTTATGTAGTGGTAGTGACTTTCCTGCTATGCAGGACTCCTGTGACGTGTACATTTTATATGATGTGTGGCTCTTCATGCAGTAAATAATTTCTTGTTAATGTATGTTTGGGGGGGTTGAATGTCAGCATCGTTGACCCACACAGTTATTCAACTTGTAAAAGGGTATACAGTAATTTAACTACTATCTTTTTATTCTGTCAGGTTACTGAGCTCACATTATAAAAATGGCTATAAATACTGAGCATGAAAAATTGTGTAACCTGTCTCTTTCCGCATGCATAAGACTTCTCATTAAGGAAACTGATAATGCTTGAGTCCACTAAATCTGCCTTCAGTACTTTATCAAAGGGGAACCAAGCTTGTTGTGCTTACGTCTTCATCTGGAAGATTTTTCCCTCTCTCATCTGTGCACACATCTCCATGCAACAAGAAAACCACCTCTGTTAAGATAGCCATTGGAATTAAAGACCTGAATGAACTCTGATGAAGTACAGTCTGAGGAACCATCATGCATGAGTGAATTGCTCTCTTGGACCTGTTTTTCTGTTGTTTGTGGAACTTACATGTTTGATTGACTTGAACATTGCATCTTTCAGAGTTATTTTTTAAGATCTCTTGGCATTTATCCTGGTCTGTGTTTGGCAGTGTGCTGTTAAAGTACTAGACTTCTAATCTTTATGTGCTTTTTGTTTTCCCTTGGAGTACTTGGAAAGATGTTATAGTGGTTTCTTTTAGGAAAATCTGTCATTAAAAAAATTATAGCCTTGCAAATAACCACTCACTGTTATTTGAGTCCCAGCTTATTCTAGAGAGACATAAGGAATGCTGACTTCATTTCTTTTTCTACCTATGGACATATTGGAAAGGGGGAGGACTGGAGTTTTAAAAAGCAACTTGACAGTACCTAACTTATGAGGTGGCAGAGTATAAGGGTGAATGTGTTTGCTCATGGTCACAATTGGACCATTTAAGAAATACTGGTCAGAACCATCAAGTTCCATTATATTGATTTGTAGGCTGTTAGTGCAGTAGTGGAAAGTCGTGAAAATAGTTGCATTGTACTGCAGGTGGGACAATGTGTGAAAGGCAATTCCAAGTTTACCTGCAGAGCAGAGCACAGCCACATCAGTAGTCCTTCACATGAAAGGTATGTCTTTCTTTGTTCTGGAGATGTTGTGTGGTTTAGCATTTGTATTAATCAGGGTTTCCCTAGAGAAACAAAACTTATAGAAGTTATATGACTTAATTAAGAAAAAAACCCCTCACAGGTATACTCAGCCCTGTGGTTTTAGTTAATTAATTCCAGATGTAGTTGAGTTGGCAACCAAGAATAGCCATCTGATAACAACTTTACTATACATATATACACACACATATACATTCTAATAAATCCCATGTATATAGTAATATATGTGAGATTTATTGGAATGGCTTTATTTATATATGCATATATGTGTGTATATATATGTATGTATGTGGGGTTTATTAGATTGCTGTAAGGCTGTGGTCCAGCTATTCCAACAATGGCTGTCTGCCAGCGGAAGGTTCAGGAGTCCAGTAGTTGTTCAGTTCTTGAAGCTGGGTGGTTCAGCTGGTCTTCAGTATACACTGGAGTCCTGAAGAAGTGGACTCTATTGCCACTGAAGGAATGGACTTGCCAGCGAGAACAAGCAGCCAAGAAGAGAGCACTTCCTTCTTCCACGTCCTTTACATAGGCTGCCAACAGAAGGTGTGGTTCAGGTTAAAGGTAGATCTTCCCACCTCAAAAATCAGACGTAGAAGCGGGTATTCTCACTTCAAATGATTTAAGAAAAAATCCCTCATAGGTGTGCCTAGCCACTTGGGTTTTACTTAGTACCAGATATGGTCAAGAATAGCCATCACAGGGTTTGCTAACAGCAACCTCGTCTGTCTTGCTAATGATACAAATCCTGCTGTCAGTTAAGCTACATTGCTATTGCTACCCACTCCAGCTTCCTTACTTATTGCTCACTCACTAAAGGCGCAGGTGAGAGACACCCACACCCAAGGCCCGGCCTCGAATCAACTCGTTTTTCTCACCACACAAAACCCTTTATTAGATTTGAGCAGGTACCTTCGTTCTGATTTAGTGCTAGAATATAATTGAATTAATTGGAAAATTCTCAACAGGAAGTACTTATCAAGATGATCCAGGATGAGACTTGTAAATAAACCAGAAATGTTAATAATAGTTGTGTTTTTTTGAGTCCCTCTTGGGTACACGTAATGTGTTTACAAGCTATTTTAATTGTTTTAATTTTATGACATAGCATACCCTCTCTTTTCAGCTGAGACAGAAGTGCAAAGGTGATATGACTGGTAACCCATAGAGCTGTGACTCAAATCCTCAGCCTGATTCCAAAGGACCAGATTCTGTTGTTTTGTTTTTGAGACAAAATCTAACTGTAAAGATCAGGCTGCCTTTGAAACAAATGAACCTCCTATCTCAGCCTCCTGAGAGATGTGATTACAGGCATGTACCACCACACCTAACATCAAAAGTCCAGTTTGTTAACCACTACTGACTCTAGGCACGGGCTCCACACTAAACTAAGTACAACCTGAAGATGAGACAGGGAGTTGTAGACTTCAAGCCTGCTGCCCACCACCTGCTGGCCATCAGACTAGGGTAAGAGATGAAGTCTCAGCTCCATCCTGCATTTCCCGCCCTGTTGGCTGCCTTACATGAGTCTCTGTGATGGGAACATCCTGACACCCATAACCGAGGGCCCGTCCTGTATCTTGTCCTATGTGAGTGAAGCTGACTGATTAGCAGCTCTGCCTTACACTCCCTTTCATCACCTCTTAGCCTTTTCCAAGAGCCAGAGTATGTGATTGTGAACAATGGCTTTGGAGTCACAAAAGGTGGGCTAGTGTTTTAAAAGCCCAGGCTTTAGGCTTATACAGGTTTGATCTCAGGGCCTGCTACTGAGTGTGACGTTGACCAGTTACGTGACTCAATCGAACCTTTTCATTCTCCTTGCTGTTCAAGGGATCTGAGTTCATCCTTTGAGCCACATATAGTGGGGCTAGCAGCAGACAACTGTACCGCAGTCTCAGCTTTGCTCCACATCCTGTACGGGAGACATTGTCAATCATCTCTTGGGGTCTTGGGAATCACTCATGGAAGAAGGACTGCTTGATTTCTAGTGGGGGGCATATTGATTTTAAGTAATAACTTCAAACACAGTAGTCATAAAAGCCATGACTGACATAGAAGAACCCCTCCCCCCCCCGCCCGGGGTGCTAGCAGGGCCTGTAATCTGGTGATACAGGGGCTGAGGCTGACTTTTCTGATAAAGGGATGTTTGAGTTTAGATTTCAAGAGTTAGTCGAGGGCCAACTGAGTGACGTGATGAGGACCATTCCAAGTTGAGTGAAGTGACATTCCTTTAGTCGGGTGTCCGTTGAGTGACAAAACATGCACTGTGCTCTACAATTCAGCACGGAACAAAATAGAGCTCCTCTCGCAGCACTTCCAAAGCTGCTGTAAGGACAGAATCCCAGTTCCAGTGTTAGTCGTAATGAACGCCCTGAACCAAAATGTGCCCCCTGCCACTTCCTCCCTCCCACCCAGGGTAAGATGACCCCTCCTGTATGTCACCGTAAGAGCCTTTGAAAACAACTGATAATGTCTTTTCTGAGCTTTTGTGTGCCCAGGCTAAACAACCCTATTGTCTTACTATCTTCCCTCCAGCCGAGACCACCCTGGCTTGCTTAGTTTCTGTGGCTGCATCAACCCCTCCTAACAATCAGCAGGCAGACTGGACCAAAGGCGCCCTGCTCCAGGGAAGTCTACATTCCCTTCAGGGAAAGCAAACCATAAATGTACATACATGAAATAATGAAAGGGTGGATAATTGGTCAGCAAGAAATGGGACAGAGGCTAAGCGGCATGAGGAGAGGGGGCGAGAGAGGAAGAGGCAGGGAGGAGTTGAAAAAGTCAGCAGTCTGTGGCATCATTAACCAAACTCCAGCCTTAGCTGCACAGCATTTTTAGGGCAGCTTGGGGTACATAAGACCCTCCTGTCTCAGACCAACAAGCAAAGCCCTGACGCAGGTAGAGAATGAGAGTGAGGTAGAGGTCTGCTTCAGAGCGCATGCTCAGTGCATGTTCGTTGACAGGAAAAACTGTCTCCTTGTCCTTGACTCAGCTGGCAGATTGATATAGTAGAATAGAAGAAGTAGGAAGTAATAGGAAGGCAGAGTCCTAGCCCCGCTTGCCACTAAGAACTTTCAGAAAGCTGCGTGAATGTCTGAGCCTGCTTCTTTATAAAATGACGACAGCTGAGAGGCTCGGAGCATTTGGGGAGCTATTACCGTATGCCAGGCACTGTGGTAGGTGGTGGACTGTGATTTCAGCTGCAGACACTCGCCAGCCCTATTAGAGGCTCAGATGAAGTGATGTACGTTAAAGAAGGCTGACTGAGGTTGGACCTTCTGTATGGTTTTGCTGATCTGGCGCAATTTGATTATGATACGGAAAACACCTCATAGACTGCAGCTCCTCCAGGCTGCTTTCTTCAGCACACTGGAAGGGTCCCAAGTGCCTGCCGCAGTGAAGACTGAGAACTGCCTTAGCCGCTGCTGTCACGGCTGAAGCCTCAAGTCCACGAGTCTATTTTCTGGTTAATTTTGGTAACCCAAATAGTGTCTTTTTAAACTATGAATCCACATTATCGTTGTAGCTTAAAAAATCCTGCCCTCCACGTTCGGCTGCCAGTGCTGTCGAGCAGGTACTGGGTTCCTCTTTAGGGACAGAGCTTACCCGTGGAAGTCATTTCTTTTGTCGTGACGGGACAAGATATACTGAAGGCGGTACAAGTACTTCTTGGAAATGAGGTTTAAATTCACCTGTTCTGTTGGAACTGAAGCGGTTCACTGTGCATTCAGATACTAAACCGACAAAAATCGCTTGAGAGGTCGTCGATTGTCAGGTGCTTTGGGAGTCACGAGGCTGTGCTGCTTGCTTTTGTTGTTTACTTGACTCTCCTATACAGCTGTGTTCCCACGTAGCTCAGGCAAAAATTACATGAACCGTTTTTTCCATCTGAAAAATCTGGAAGACTTCTGTCAGCTAGTGAAAGTCGCCCTCCCCCGCCCCCATTTCAGTGCTGTTTTGGTGTGAGAAGGGAAGATAATGGCAATTAGGCCCCCTGGGTGTGCTACAAAATTGGCTTTTTTAACACTTTGAAAAACTCAACAAAGTTCCATTTTCTAAGAGGAGCCAGGAGTTTGATATTTAACGACCTTGGCCAACCAGTATTTTAAATTCTGACTTGCAATCAACAGACCATTAGTGTCTCATCTGCACTGAGATTTTAGCCAGGCTTGGCACAGGGGAAACAGCACCAAGTTGTTTATGCCATGGTCTGAGCCTAAAGGAGAATGCAGCAGACTGAATAAGTGCTTCACGGTGGAGGGTTCAGCATGAGAATGAGGGGGTTCATGGTCCTTCACATTGCTGTGGAATATTGCCCACCAGAAAGGCCCACACCAACATCCCTGGAAGCTGTGAGTGTGTAAGTGTCTCACGTGGCAAAGGGATTAAGGTCACCAGTGGAATGGTCTTGGGGTAGGAGGTTACTCTGGGCTATACAAATGGGGGTCAACTGAACCACACAGGTCCGTAAAATTCATGAGTTGTTCCTGGCCATGGTCAGAGCAGAAGAGCTGAGCGCAGACACAAACCCAGACACACGCCACCTGGCTGGCTTTGAAGAGCGAGGAAGGGGGCCTCTGGAAGTCCGAGC